GATTTTATTTTATTTGACAACTAACGGTTGGGGTTTGTGGACAAAGATAGCAGGGGTAGAGTTAAGATCATCAGGGAAATCAATACCCTCGACAATTCATGTCAATTGACATGAATGATGAGAAATTTCCTCATTCATGCCAATTGGCTTCGAACGCCAATTGGCATGAATGAGAACAAAACGGGAACATGTTGATTCGGATTTGCGACTTGTGAATCGGAATTTCTGGTACTGAAACCGAAGATGAACAAAAGAAGCACCAGGGGCGAAAACAATGAAACAATTGCAAAGAGCTGATTTGCAATTAACTTAATTGCGATGAGCTCGATGTACTTTAATTCAATTCCGTTTACATTTGGCTTTGACAGATGACATTCATCGTATGACAGAAAATGCATCCAAGTAATTAAGAATGGGATGGTAACTAATTGTGAAAAGGAATAAATTGCATCGATGCGTCATGCATATGACGTCACACGCTCCTTAGCGCAAAGAAGGATGAGAATTTCGAAAGAATTCCATTTGAGTGAATTTCGTTTCACATTTAGGGAAAGCAGCAGATAATTAGTCTCTCGCCTTTTTAGTCTTTCCTTTCCGGGCAATTTACGTAAGAAACGCGTTTTCCTCGTCTAGCGGCTGTTTTCAGGGGAAAGGATCAAGTACTGCCTGAATAGTACCGAAAGCACAGTACTGAGAAATGCGAGAGCGATTCGCCTCACCAACGATTTTGGCATCTCGCGTCGGTTGTCGGCAGTGGCCATAACAACCAAGAAAACCTTAGATTTAATATGGAAGAAAAACATTAAATTTGAAACATTTTTATGTTCCATATATCTCCGAAGTTTACCGTAATTGATCATGCTTTCATGCACACAGTAGGCTTACCGAATTAACTTATCGAGTTTCATTGATTTCGTCCATTTCGAAGAATTTTCCTTTCGAGGTGACTGGGGCGAATATGCGCAGCCTGCAATGCGGGCACACAAGGTTGTCTCCGAGGCTCGGCGGGTCGAAACGCCACCCAGGCGCTTAACCCTTTCTTTTTGTTTTATTCTTCCTCTAATCAGGTGTAGTTCTGGGTAACTGGTCATCCTCCATCATGGTTCTTTGCTTGCTGGTGCTGGGCAATCTCTGCTCTGCTTTCAGGTTTTCTATTTGGCTGTTGGCAGGATGCCAAAGAACTTAGTGTACTTATTGTTATATAATAGAACTTTTTGGACATTTTTCTATGCTCGGCGATCTTGACGTAGTGCAGAAAACTGCGCACTATGGTCAAGTATAGGGTGATTTTTTATTCATGCGACCATTATAAATGTTTATCTTGGAATAAAATAAAGTTGGATGCCTGAAATTTCACATCAAGAATCAATGAGCATGGGAGAGTTACACAAAGTTATACATGGGAGTGTATGACAAAACATGTTCAATATGTCATCCTTTGTGCACATGTCGTAGGGGTGTGGTGTAATTCACCTCAACTGTCTGCAGGAAAATGGAAAAAAATATGTTCTGCGGTCGCTTACAGGTCTCAAAACGAGCATATATTTAACCTTGACCCGAAAACTTTGTCCCCAGGTATCCCCAGAAAAAATAGTACTCTGGTACCAGAATGCTATTTTGCAAATTTCCTGATATTTACAGTGGTGGCTTAGTATGGGAACCATTCCACCCCAATCACAATCTATGTGGCTATTTCCTCTGGGGATACCTGGAGGACAAGGTCTTCGAGTCAAGGTTAAATCCATGCACGTTTAGAGACTTGAAGGCGGTCACAGAACGTGAAGTCAACTCCATTTCCCGGGATACTCTCCAGGCAGTTCAGGATTTACACCACACCCCAAAGACCGGTGGTTGCGTACAGAGGAGGACACATTGAACGTGTTTTTTCATAGAGTATAGCTTTCCCATGTTCCTGGACTTTTAATACGACATTTCAAGCATCTAACTATTTTTTAAAGATGTATATGATTCATATTATTATTTATGTTATTATATTATGCTTATTTAGAGATATGAACATTAATAATGGTTCCATTAATAAAAATTCATCCTGTACATGATTATCGTTCGCGATTTTCTGTACTGCGCCAAGATCGAAGAGCTTCAATCGCCGAGCATGAAAAAATATCCAATATATAAAATCCGGTCCTTGTCCCGACCAATACGGCGCGGCATGCTTCTCTTGCCGCGTCCCGGGTTTGCGTCCCGCGCCCCGTTCAACATAGCTCCTTCCATCCTGGGACTACACAGAGACCTAAATCATGAAACATCCAAGATCTCAGACGAGACAGGCAATTCACTCTATAACACCACCACAATAACACAGATAATAAAGTAAGTAGAGTTAGACTCACAGGGAGAGAGGGTCCACAACGAGGAGATGAAGGTCGGTCGACGGCCTAAGCAGGACTGCGTGGACATGGGGCATCCGAACGGCTTTTATACAGAAAAAACTGCCTCCAGCAACTTCCCCCCCTTCTACTTCCGATTCTTATCTGCTTATCAGCCCCTTCCCCTCTTCGTTCATGTTATGCATACAAGGAAATGCCAACCATTTCATGCGAGTGCACTTGACGAAACGAACCCGAGAATAAGTCTAGCCGAATTTTAAAAAGTCAAACATTGATATTTGAGTGAAAAACGCCAGGGGGAAATTTGAAGCATAATGCTACATCTTCAATGGAAGGAGGGGGGGTGGGGGTGGGAAGCCCTGGATCTGTTGTAATATAAGCATGCGATGATCATTTAAAGGTTCTGTAACATTAGCCTCATCATTGACTCAAAAAATCCCGACAAAGGCAGGCGTGAAATTGATGAGAGCAAATACAGTCGGGGCGGAAATATAATGTTCTCAAAACTGACTCTGAAATGGAGACAAACGGAATGAAAAAAGTTCCGTCATTCTTTTGTTCATGTTTCATCAGATGTCGCCACTGACATCTGACATGGACCTACAACGAAACAGATTGTCCCTTGCCTGTCCCCTTTCTTGTGGGGGAGAGAAACGCTGAGGAAATCCAAGAGGAAGTCCAGGCAACGATGAAGGGGAAGGAAAGCGAAGGAACATTTCATGGTCCCTGGTTGTATCCGTCTTCCAAGAATTTATTCATCAATTTATCTGATATTCCCTTTCCATCACCCATGGTACCATAAGAATGTCCAGGGGGAGCAAAGAAAGGTAATCGGTGGCTTAAATACCTGAGATGAGGATTAATCAATTGGATTATCAGCCATCCCACACAGCACAGTGATATCCCAGGGATGTCCCTAAAAGGACGACTTGTCCCTTGGTCTTTATATGATATCCTGAAGAATTCCTCTTTCTGACGGTTTCGGATATCTCCTAATGTAGGGGTGTCAAATTGGCGGCCTGGCGAAAGAAACTAAAGGGCCGGATCTGGCCCTTTAGTTCATTTCGTCCGGCCTGCGAAGTCCACTTCACTACTTGGTTTTGGAAAAGCGCTGAGATTTCAACCAGTTTGCATTCGAAGTTTGGTGAAAGATGGTGAAAGAATTTGGCGGAAGAGGGAAGAAAAACTGACTAGTGAGAGGGAAACGGGAGACCTTGTGACTCCCACATATTAATTAATTTTAAAGAAATGAAAAAACCAATACAGCTTTGAAGTGCTGTATCATGTTAAGAAGCACATAAATACATGTCATTGACATCTGGACAGTGGACCGGGACAGGCCCCGATAGGGACACTGCACTCCATGCTGTGAAATTTATCGCAGATTTTCCAAAAAAATGTTCAGTCTATTGCATAATAATCAGAAACATTGCTCAATGATGCAAAGTTATTTCTTTTTACTGCTTCAGACCCTCATTATAGTGTCTCTAATCAGGCGATGAGTTTAAAAAGCTTTCGGATGGGGTCCAGCGTGGCACTTTGATCATGATAATGATACTGATAATGACTCCAACTGAATCTTATGGATTCAGTAGAATACTGTCGCTCGTGATGTGGACAGCCTTCACATTTTTTCGCAGTCAGGGATGGGATGGACTTCAACGGGTGGACTTTTTAAAATATTCATCCTGTTAAATAAATTTAAAAAAATTCTAAAACGGTCTCGAAAATGCATCAGATGCAATCCGCGTAGCTGCAGACGTGACGAAGCAGGAGCCTCCTCGGAGCTCCTGAGAAGCTCGCACCAATCACACACCATAAACCGTGCAAGAGACCTTTACTGGTCCTCCATTGGTCAAGTGATCTACCAATCACAGACCGAGTCGCACCAAAGTAATCCACGCCGGTTGTCTTGCTCAGGGAAGGCGAGAAGGGAGGACGGTCTCAACTGTCTCGTCTGCGAACTTGAGTTCATCTTGTCCCAGGAATTCCTGTGTCGGACTGGATTCGCCTGTGGTGCCTGTGTGAACCTGGTATCTTCATTCTCTCTGTATAACTAACTGTTTATACAGTATATGCCTTTTTATGTATCTTCCTTTCCTTTTGGCCTAGGTATCATTTATGTATTCACTCTATTTCATAGACCGCTCGATCTGTCCTTCAAATATTTTATGAACCTGATAATCGGTTTCTCTACAGGGAAGATCTGGAACAGGAACTCTCGGATCTTCCCCGCTGGGGGATCTTGGCGAAGTGCAAGCGGAACGCGGCGAGCCACTTTCCTCCGGTCAATTTGAATTTCTTGGCGATTCCCAGCCTCGTCTCCGTTCTGTCGTACTGGGCATCGCTGGTAACTTCGGGAAATGGGCCGAAAATTCAACTTAAATCCCCATTTCAAAAGGTGAAAAGTTAAAATTTCCTTGCCTCCTGAGAGTACTCAGAGCAAGAAAATGGGAAGATGAAACGAAGAACTAAAAATGCCATTCCCCCCACCTGAAAGGGAAGGAAGCACCGGTTGGCTCGTTTAAGGCTCATTTGAGACTCATTTATGGCTCATGTAATGCTGTAATCATGTAATTTATGAGATGTAGGCTGATGTGTGCATTTCTTCTCTTCGCGCCGGTACACGAGAAAAAGGAACTCCGGTCGTAGGCATTCACAGCGAATGATTATTCAAGATCGGACTCAGAAAGTGGGGGGAATGATGTTGCCCAGGGCCTGAGTGAGAGCGTCCAGGATCGGGTCCTCCAGCAGGTCGTAGAGGATGTTTCCCAGCAGGTCCTTCAGAAAGCTCACCAGCTTAGGGAACAAGGAAAGGGAGGTCACGAAGGAAGTTATGAGGGATGCCACGAGGGAGACCGAGAAGAAGGTCACGAAAGAGGTACAGAGGGAGGTCACGAGAGAGATCACAATGGGAGGTCAAAAGGGAGGCCAAATGGGAAGTGGAAGAGACATAGCAAGAGAAGAGAAAGAGGGCACTGACCTCGCCGAGGGCCCAGTCGAGGGGGCCGAGCCCGGTTAGGTCCACTTCGATGTCGCCAAGGTCGTTGATGTTGAACTGGTTGATCGTCACAGCCAGGGTCGCCGGGTCCACCGACGCCTGATTCCACACGAAATCTCCAAAATCTCAGGGGAAAAGTGGGTGATTTGAAAGTAAAATTTGAAAGAACGGACTTGAAGGAAGATGTCGATGTCGTTGATCCTGAGGCCGACATCCGTGCTGATCTCGATTCCCTCGAACTCCAAGAAGGCCTCATACCCGCCGCCGACGGCCTGGAACCCGAGCCCGGTGGAGATGGTGATGAGCGACCCGTCGGTGTCGAGCGTGGCGTCGCCGCTCCTCAGGATCGTCTCCAGGCCCTGCAGCGAGCCGGATCTGAACCCGGCCGAGCCGCTCAGCTCGAACCCGGGGAAGATCTCCTGCCTGAAAGGAAGATAGAAGTTCGACCCTCATCCGTAAAGGACCCGGAGGAGAAAAGATAAAAAAAAACGGACGAGAACTCCGCGTCCGCATCCGGCAGCTGCAGGTTGTTGTATCCGTTGTCGATGAGCCACTGCCTCGCATTCTCCAACAGCTCGTCCACGTACTCGTTCGCGTTCCCGCCCTGCTTCGTCCGGATCCTCCGAGGAACCTGTTGCACATCGACATTTCGCTTTCGACCCATTTTTTTTTGTTCGAGCCTTTTCGCACTTGCAAGAATGGTCTTAGAAAGTCAAATTCTCGTAATGAATCCGTCTCGAATCGTCCAAATTGAAAAAAAATATTATTGCTTTTGCAGATTTTTTGTTTAATTAGTTTTTTTTTTACATTTGGAGAACAAAGTATAACGGAATAGACGACGAGGCGGTTGCGGATGGGAACACGATCGTGCAGTCACCCATTTATGGGCAACTATTGTCACCTATTGCCAATTACTCCTTCCTATTGCCAATACTTGCAACAACATGAGAGAAAAAAAGCGAAAAATTTTTTCATCTCTTTGTGCATTGAACATCAAATGTAAGCATGAAAGGGCGAAAGGTCAACACTTTCTGGATCGTGAAGGCAGCAGATTCATTTTTAGCCAAATGGTAACCCGGAAATTTGCACAACCCAGAGCAATTCATTAGTGCGAAGCAGTTCCCGAATGGGTATGAAGCCGTTTCGTGACACCGTTTCCGCCAAAGGCTTCGTGTAACATTTTCTTGAGATCGGTCGATCCCCTTTAAAACTGTTACGAAAATTGGCCTAGAAAGATGAATTGGCCTTGTTAGGTCAATTGGCCTAGCTGGAATCATTGACCTAGCGGGAACCATTGGCCTACCTGGAAAAGGAATCCATTGGCAACCCCTGCCAAGAGGATGAAGGCGAAGGCGAACTTCATTTTCTACGTCTGATCCAAGAGCAGTCGAATGGGAGCCGAATGGGGGCCGAATGGGAGCCGAATGGGGGTCGAAGAGGGGCCGAATCGGAAATAAAGAGGCTGGCTTCCGGGTATCGCCTCTTATCCACGTCGCACACGCGAGTCCGCAGGTGTCGCCGTTCTCGTGGGAGCGAGGCCCACCGGCGCGGAGGATCCTGGATGCAACCGGATTCTTGCGAAATTCTCTCTGCTTTCGTTTACATAACACGGAATCCACGATAGATCTAAATATGGTATTCACGAATTCGCGATAAGTGTAAAAATATTTTGCGGCAATTCTGCTGAGGAAACACTTTGCTTTCCCGGATTTTTTTTTAGTCGGGTAATTTTGTTTAAAAACTGAAGTATTTAAGTAAATAATGCAATACTTTGCGAAAAAAAACTGAATAAAAAAATAATTTTTAATATTAACTTTAAAAACTAGGAATTTACCAGAATTTAGGAAAACGCAGTCTTTTTTTTTAAAAGCTGGTTGAGGAATTTTCTAGCTCTTCGTAATCCCAAAAATATTACACTAATGAAATTGAGATAAAAATTCAATTAAATCACAATGAAAGAAATGTAAGAAATCCACATTGCTTTGCATCAGCCACTTCATAAGCGATTTCATCATCCGTTTCATGAGCAATTGCATCAATCGTTTCATGAGCGACTGCATCAGCTGCGTTAGGAGTGATTTTGTCTTATTCTTGCCGCGAGTTGTATATAATCACGTAGTCTTTTTTTTTTCAAACCGGCCACACGAAAGGGATGGGAGGCAACTTTCACCGAAAATGGAAGATTTGTTCTCGCCTCGCCATCTCTCGGAAGAACGAGGAGCGTTGCCGTTGCAATCGCAAGGGAACGAGGGCATCGCCCTCTGCAGTGCCTCCCGCCTGCCTGGAATCCGAAATAGTGTCGATTTCTTTTCCTTCGCCTCCATTCGCACGATCGGGTCAAGTGAGACCTGCAGGCTTTCTTCGTATGACATTGTCCAAGTGGCACGCTTTCGACGACGCTCAACATGTTTTCGAAGAGGTCTTTCACGTTCAGTTTAGGTACCATTTGATCGCGAGACATGCTGCATTTGAAGGACTTTCCTCGAACGTTTAAGATGTTTTCCTGAAGCGTGTCGATGGTATCCATGTGACGATGGCTAAGATTCGCACTACCGACGCTAGATGGCGCCTAAGTAGTCGTTATAGCGGCTGGATTCATGATTAAGCTGTAATTACTCCACAATTATTTCCACAATGTAGCCGATCTTTCTCCACGTAAACCAGAGCGGAAGATACTCGAATTCTTGAATAATTCCGTCTTACGTGGTAACCCAGTCCAAGGAGTCCCCAGAGAACTCTGGCTCGAAAGATAGAGGATGGATTCTTCATTTTCGAACTTTACTTCATGGGGAAATGACACCGTTGTCTCCTCTCGTTTCTCTCATGAAAAGGGAATTTGTTGGTGGGGTATGTCCGGTTCCTGAATCTAAGATGGCTATATATAGAATGACAATTTCTATTGTAAGAGTGATTTGCCCTTCGCTTCCCAACAGACTATCCCAGACAATGTAAGGATCGAACCTTCAATTTGGCTAACCGGCTACATTATGGGTTCTGGCCCCAGCCACGGCAGCAGGGTTCTACTTATACTGAATCCAATGTTTTTCGATGAAAATAACGTATACAAAACGTCAATTGCATGTCGAAGGAATCCTAAAAAGAAGTTTTATTGAAGCTCTTCCCTGGAAATATCAATTGTTTTTGTCTCTGGTACTTCTTCCCAAGTTCATCGAATTCAGTAACGAACATCCACCGACGTGGAAGACCCAAATCCGGATCGACGTTTTTCCGTCGATCATGCCAATTGGCATGAATGAGTATATTCTTCCTCAGATCATGCCAATTGTAATGACATCGCGTATTAGTTACCACGATTATCCCGCCTCGATTTACATTTTGGAACAGTTGCTGGACCCCAGACGACAGGCCCTTCCTGGTGCACTTGTAGAGATGGCATTAGCAGTATTTTCGTACAGAGTCCCTAAGTAATACCATTTAAATTCGTTCTAAAACACTCGGATGCTTAAAAAATGCTGCAGTTTTCGACCACGAATTTTACTCATTATGCCAACAAACATGGAAAGCCAAGGTACTTGAATGAGTGAGATTCCTAAAGGCTTGCTTAAGATAGATCCTATAACACTACAACATAATTCCCAAGTCAACGTGGTGAGTCTTGGAGGAAGAATGGCTGCGTGGTTTCTACGCGCGGTTTATACAGTATAGGTATCATTCCAGTGCGACGGGGGGCAAAGTGATATAGATCGGCGATAAAGATCGCCCTTGTGAGAAATGAACGGGAAATTGAGAGAGAAAGTTGCAACGGATAAGGTCGTGACCTTGTCCGATAGTCGTTAGTGACAAGAACACGTGGGATTCACGTATGACCAGCGGCGTAGTAAGAGGGAGGGGGCTTCAGCCTGGGGGGGCTTTTATCTAAATGCGTCTGTCACCCTCCCCCCCCCCCCCCCATCCCCCTTCGCCCAAGGAGAAGTTATTGGCTCCTCCTCTATTCAACTTAGCCAGGGTTTCGCCTTTTGGCGAAACCCTGGCTACGGCACTGCGTGAGGCGTTCACATCTACAGGAAGTATTGAAGAACATTAGTTCAGATGGATTCAGATGGATAACGCTTTTTAATCAGAAAAGCATTGGGAAGGGGAACTAGTTTGTTCGATGCCATAAATGGGGGGTGTGGACCAATTTTTTCCTGAAATTACAACACAACATAAATAACTCCAACAAATTAAAGAAGAATGGCGAAAAGTTATGTTCGACGAATATCGTTTTCAAATTTTTATTTGTTTATTTATTTAATTGCGAATCAATTCGGCAATGAACTGGATTACTGAAATAATGTTGCTGGACTTTTCCCGTTGCTGTCGTGGAATCGTACGTGCATCATAAAGAAAAATATATAAATAATCTCATACCAAGCCGCTCTTCCAACGCTGAACCTGCAACTAACTGAAAGTCACGATGAGTAATTGAAATGTATGAAAACTAGGAAAGGAAATGCTGATGTGTTCGATGCCGATAGTGGTCAGTGCGAGACTTTCCCCATTCGTAAAAACAAGATTAACTAATGGCTACGAGTTCCCATTCTATCACCGATTGGCGTTTGTGAAATTTTATCATGAAATTATTTGTAAATAAGCTCAATTAATGTAATGAAGTTGCCGATCCTTTTTTCTATCGCTGTCATGGAATTGTTCGTTCATCGTCCGGCACCCTCTAAATAGGAAATTTTTTTTTTTTGGAGAGAACGGAATATGCAGAAGCGCAGTCCGCAAAAGAAGGAAAATGCTAGTGATATATTCTGTGAATGTTTTTTTTTTCCGTCTGGACAGGAATTCCCTGAGGGGGAATGCCGTGAGACCCGGCCGTTGCAAGTAGCAACGTAAGTAGCTTCGATCGAAAAGGGGGGCAGGGCAGAGGAAAGGTGACATTCAAGGGCATTCACGCGGGCGGGACGGGGGAGGACGCTTCACCTCTCTTTCCGTCTCACACTTCGCACTTTCACATAGTGGGCTTCTACCTGCTTCTCCTCCAGACCAGCATATTGACGGTAAGAAAATTTTCTCAGTCATACTAATCTGTGTCCCTTTAGTTGTTACAATACGTAGCCGATTACGAATGCTATACAATGCGTATCCTAAATTGAGTTGGTCCACGCGAACATCACTTGCAATGTTCAAGATGGAATTGGAAAATTCGTATGGGAAATTTTTGGTCCTGGTATTCGCACATCCATGTGGGGGTTCTCTTGAATTTCCTAATGGTGGGACTGAAATAACTTGGGTTAACATAGAAGGAAGTAGAATGCCTAGATTTCTTGAGGACGCAAGAGAGAGGTGTTTTCAGCTTGGAAAAGGAAGGAATTGGGGTTGACATTGATTTATCGAACTGAAGAAACGAACAGGATTCTCTAAGCTGAAACTGTGAGATGATGAATTTTTTCCCTAGTTAGCTGGAGAGCAGGTTGCTTAGAGATTCGCAAGAACGGCAGGGTGTTGAGCAATCCCAGTGGGCCCAGGATTTGCTTGCGTTCACCTGGTACGTCAGTCAGGGTCATTATTTAAGATGTGAGAGGGTGCAGTGTGCTCCAGACCATTTCATGAATGGGGGAATCCCGATGAAGACCCCCCTGAGGAGGAGAAACGCCTCATATGGCTGTCAATTATAGCCCGTAGCAGAATGGCACCAGATGACTCAATGGGAAGGCCTGAAGTTCAGAACCCTAAGCCATTGTCTCGTTAGCATTTTCTGAAACTAATTTCTTCAGAGAATTTTTAAGTCAATTTATGTATAACCATTTATTCGCTTCCTGCATCACTGTAGCTTGCTATTTTTTGGTTTGTGCCTCCTCAATATCTCCTTGTCAAGTAAGCTTAAACTAATATCACATTTTTTCGAGTTTCCTTTGACCTAGCCTAACGTGGCCTTGTCTATTCTAACCATTCTTAGCTAACCTGGTTTTAGTTCTAACCTTTGACCTCAATAACCCACCCTAACCTCGTCTAACTCCATTATCGCATGACAAGGTCACGTTAGTCCAGGAAGGAGTGCAAACTCTCCACACCGCGGACAACATCCAAATCAGTTTAAAGGTTTTATCTATAACATATGTGTACATTGAGGAGGTATTGTTGGAAGTTGCAGAGTTTGCCATTCGCAGAATGTATGACGTAAGCTGACATGGGCAAGTGTCATAAGGTCTTTGGTAGTTTGTTCCCCTAGTTCAAGAAGAGTTTCCTCCCAAAGAGAGAGAGAGAGGGAAGCCTTTAATGAAGTGAGTGAAAATGTTAGTGTTCTTGAGCTTGAACTTTTCACAACTCCTGTCTTGATTGTTTATTCTTGAAGATCTTTTTTTCCATTTATATTTCCTTTTTTTTTTTTGCCTGGAGGGTGAGGTTGGCTTAAGCACATGTCAACTGTAGGAATAGCAGACATAGCCACCTTTACCTCGGCAGGACAAGGATGGCCACATCTCGCTGGTTGGTCTCTGCATCGGCTCCAGATCCATTTGCTCCACGGAACGCTCCCCCAGCAGCCAGGTGGACTTGGGGCGTGTCTTTTTTCTCAGCGGCTCAGCTAGCTCTGCTGAGGCCTCCAGCATCCCATGACGTCATGTTAGGGCTGAGCTGCTCATCGCTCCCATAGTTCGCTATGTTCCGCTGCCGGCTGCTTGATTTTTTTTTTTTTTTTTTTTTTACCTGGAGGGTGAGGTTGGCTTAAGCACATGTCAACTGTAGGAATAGCAGACATAGCCACCTTTACCTCGGTGGCAGGACAAGGATGGCCACATCTCGCTGGTTGGTCTCTACATCGGCTCCAGATCCATTTGCTCCACGGAACGCTCCCCCAGCAGCCAGGTGGACTTGGGCTGAGGTTCTTGAAAAGGAGGGGACTTTTTATTCTAGAAAAACTGTTAATGGTGAGAAGTCATCTTTTTATCTGCTCATGGATGAGGTTAGCGTAAATAAACAATTTGAAACACCACTTCTATTTCAGGTGTTGGGTGGAAAAGAAAGCATTCTAGCAGGAACCCCTTCCTCCATCGCCTCCCCAGTCAGCACCTCCAAAGACACTGGAACATTTTGCCGAATAGGTGTCATCTCTCCAAAGGCAACGAATTTTGTTTTTCAATTCCAATCTGATTTGATTTGAAACCACTTCCCACAATCGTAATGAATACATTTTATTTGAGAGAACCACAGCCCTGGAACCAGTGGGACTGCTATTAAGATTTCTCACCCTCGGATTCCACATATCCAATCCCCCATATCATCCCGTATGACGTCCTTCGTTTCCTGGATAACCACCAGTCTTGGAACCACCATCAGGATAGGAGGAGGGCTCCCTCCTGATAGAAATCACCTAATGCCCTGAGGAAAGTGAGGTCTTTTCGCACTGAATTTCGACTGATTTCCAATCTACTTTAACCCTTTCTTACCATTATTTATACAGTTTAGTGAAAACTCCATGCAGCGTTAGAAAGCAGAGAAACTCCGACTTAGGACTTGAGACTGACTTTCCGGACCACGAATGGGCATCATGTACTGGTCTCTGCCAGCCATAGCCGTTAACCGTTGCAATCGGAGGAAATCGGAACACATCCCACATGCATAGGTTGCAGCTCGAAAAGGCGTTCTGTCGTGTTCGTGTTGCACCTCGAACGTGAACCTGTCTCGATGTCTGGGTATTACAATCCGGCGCATCATCGTGAACTTCGGTGATCGGTCTAAATATGGTCAAGACTTGAATCTCGTCGTGGGGGTATCCGAGGCCGGCGAGACAGTCCAGTGGGGAACTGCAGCAGTCGGGGGAAGAAAAGAGACCAACTCCCAGTAATTGTCACCCCCCGAGCTCGGAGAAACCCCAACCGACCGGCGAATGCAGACCGGAAAAATTTCCTTCTCGATCGACACGTCATGAGAGTAAATGTCTCCGTTTCCTCTCTTTTTCCAGCTTCTCTCGCTCACATTTCCTTTTTTTTTTTACCTCGTTCTAGACCCTCGGAATAGAAGAAATTTCGTTAACGACTGGACTATTCATATATAATTGGTTATGTCTCTGGTTGCTGTTTCTGATTCCATTCCATTCGGCGCGAGAATTGCATGAAAGTGATTAAATATCGGTAGCGAAGCGGGATCCTGCAACTAACTGAATGTTACGATGAGTAATTGCATGAAAATTGGGAAAGATGCTTATGTGTTCGATGCTGTTAGTGGTCACTGGGACTTTCCTCTTTTGTGAAAAAAAAAATTTAATGGCCTCGATTTCCTATTCTAGGGCAAGCGATTAGCGTTTGTGAAAATTGTCATGAAGTTGTTTGTAAATTAGTTAAATTACTGTAGTTCAGTTACTGGACTCTTTCTTTTTTCTCTATCGCTGTCATGGAATTATTCGTTCATCGTTCGGCACCCTCTAAATATGAATATGCAGACAGTCCGAAAAAGAAGGAAAGTGAGTGGTATATTCTGTGAATGTTTTTTTTTTTTCCGTCTGGACGGGAATTACCCGAGGGGGAATGCCTTGAGACCCGGCCGTTGCAAGTAGCGCTTCGATCGGAAAGGTGACATTCACGCGCCGGTATGACCGGGGAGGACGCTTCATCTCTTTTTCCTTTTCACTCTTCGTACTCCCTTGTACAAGTAAAGGGCTTCTACCAGCTTCTCTTCCTGGCTAGCGTATTGACAGTAAGGAAATTTGTTTGCCAGCCACATTACATAGCCAAGATTTCTCTTCATGGGTGAAGATGCGACAGAGGTGTTTTCTGCTTGAAAAAAGGAATTAATGTTGACATTGATTTATCGAACTGAAGAAACAGACACGTTTCGCTAAGCTGAAATGGTGAGATAAATGATTTTGAATTTTCTTCTCTTGCTTGCTGGAGAGCAGGTTAAGGGGACTTTGAGGTTCGCAAGAACGACAGGGTGTTGAACAGTCCCAGTGGGAACAGAGTTTACCTTCGCTTACTGCATCACTTTAGCCTGTTGGTTTTTGGTTTGTGCCTCACATCAATATTACGTATTTTTCAAGTAAGCTTGAAGTAAGATCTATTTTTTTCAAGTTTCCTTTGACGTAACCTAACATGGCCTTGTCAACATGAACCACCCTTGGCTAACGTGGTTTTAGTTCTAACCCTTGACCTCAATAACCCATCCTAACATGGACTAACTCCATTAAAATGTCACATGACAAGGTCACGTTAGGCAACTTGAATTTTGAAGGAGTGACAAATTTCCACACCGCGGAAAACATTCACATCAGTTCAAACGTTTTGTCAATCACATGTGTTCATTGAGGAGGTATGTTGATAGTTGCAGAGTTAGTCATTGTATCTGAGTCATACTATGTGAATGACATGCAGTTTGTCCCCTGGTTCAAGATTTTCTTCCCATAGGGAGGGAGAGAGAGAGTCTTCTATGGGATGAGTTTAAGTGGGACGTAGATACAATCTAAGTTCACAACTCCCGTCTTGATTATTTATTCTTGAAGATCCTTTGTTTACATCTTTTTTTAAACCCAGGTTGCAGGTTTTAGTTAGGCGTATGTCAACTGTGCGAGAATTAAGACATAGCCACCCTTACTTGAATTTCAGGGCCAGGATGGCCTACTCTCGCAAGTTGGCTTCTGCATCGGCTCCAGACCCACTTGGTCCAGCGGCCCCATGGAATGCTTCCTCAGCCTGTAATCCAGTTCCATGGGCTCCTCACCCGATCCGAGACAATTTGGTGGACATGGGTGCTGTTCCCCCGATGGCTCGGGCTGAGGTTCTCCTCAAGATGGAGGAATTTTTTTTTCTAGACGGTTAATTTGGCGAGAAATTACCATTTATTCAGTTCCAGGATAAGGTTAGCGTAAATGAATATAATGAAATGCTCCACTCTTGTTTCAGGTTTTGTTGAAATATGAGGCCTTCTAGCAGGAGCCTCCACCTCCATCGCCTCCCCACTAAGCATCTCGACGAACACATGAACACCATGCTGAACAGTGTGGCATTTCTCCAAAACAACAATTATGACGCCGTATGACGCTCTTCGTTTCCTGGTTAACCCTTAGTCATAGAGCCACCATCAGGATAGGAGGAGGGCTCTCGCGATAGAAAACACCTAATGCCCCAAGGAAAGTGAGGTCTTCTCGCACTCTGGATTTTGACTGGCTCTTATTTACTCAGCTTTTTATTTTAGCTAAACCTTTATTTCTTGATTTTCCATACTCCTTCACCCTTTTTATATTTTCCTTATTTTTTTTCATGTTTTATTTTCTTTCTATATTTACACATTTATTTTGCAACTTTCAATATTTCAATTATAATTATCGGTTTCTTCTTGATTGCTTAATTTTTTTGGATGTTGGATTTGAGTTGTGCTACGTTGAGATATTTTCTCCCAGAAAGAGAGGGGGAGAGAGAGATTGATTGAGAGAAGCCTTAATTGAGTTGAGTGAAAGTGTGACTTAGTTGCAACTTGAGTTCACAACTATTGTCTTGAATGTTTATTATTATTTTTTTTTTCAACAGGAGTGCGAGGTTAGTTTAGGCACATGCCAACAATGCACTATTAGCAGACAGAGGCACCCTTACCGGAGTGGCCGAGGCAGGATGGCCTCTTACTGCAGGTTTGCCTCTGCATCGGCGCCATATCAACTTGCTCCATTGGCTCCACGGAACTCTCCGCCAGCCTGTAACCCCACTCCACGGGCTCCTCACGCGATCAGAGACAACTTGATGGTCATGTTACTTTTATGGGAACATAAACCATTTTCAGGTTAATTTTCATGGTTCTCCTCCATGCCAGCCTCTTGACGGTAAGAAATATATTTTTTCCCACCCACGTAAAATATGTCATAATATCCACCTTTAGTTGTTGGCATTTGCAAGATAGTGTTGTCCATAATTGCATTTTTTCATTGATGCTGGGTGTGCTCATGGAGGGGAAGTCCTGATGGACTTCCTGACTGAGAGGGAGAAACGCCTCGTATGGTACGTTAATTATAGCCGTTATTTGAATGGCACCAGCTGATTCAGAAGGGAAGGCTTTAAGTTCAGAGCCCTGAACCATTCGTCTCGTTGGGATTTTCTGGAACTGGTTGCTTTAGAGAGTTTTTTATCTATTCATTTATAACAATTTATTCGCTTACTGCATCACTTTATAGTGATGTGATGCACAAACCAAAAACTAACAAGCTATACATATTTTTCAAGTAAGCTTGCACTAAGGTCAATTTTTTTTTCGAGTTTCCTTTGACCTGACCTAACATGGCCTTGTCTACTCTAACCATCCTGAACTAACGTGGTTTCAGTTCTAACCCTTGACCTCAATAACCCATCCTAACATCGTCTAACTCCGTTAAAAAGACATGACAAGGTCATGTTAGGCAATTTGAATTTTGAAGGAGTAACAAATTTCCACACCGCGGAAAACATTCACATCAGTTTAAAAGTTTTGTCAATCACATTCGTATGTGTAAATTGAGGAGGATTTGATAGTTGCAGTTTTTTTTAACTGTTTCCCCCCTTGGTCCAATAAGATTTTCTTCCGATAGAGAGAGAGGGAGGTCTTTTATGGTGAGCTTAAGGGAGACGTAGATGCAACTTTAGTTCACAACTTCTATCTTGATTGTTTATTCTTGAAGGTCCTTTATTTTCAATATTACATCTTTTTAAAAACAAGGTTGAGAGGTTTGATTAGGCACAAGTGAACGGTGCAAGAATTAGCAGACAGAGCCATCCATATATGGGGTTCAGGGGCAGGATAGCTTCCTCTCACATTTTTGCTTCTGCATTGCCTCCAGATTCTCTTGCTCCAGCAGCTCCATGGAATGCTCCATCAGCCTGTTATCCAGCTCCACGGGCTCCTCACCCGATCATAGACAATTTGGAGTGCTGATCCCCAGAGGAATCTGGTTGAGGTTTTCCTCGACATACATGGGACTTTTTCTAGGGAAGCGGCGAATTTGACGAGAAGTCACCTTTTTATCTGCTCATGGATGAGGTTAGCGTAGATGAACAAAGTGAAATGCACCACTTCTGTTCCAGATACTAAGTGGTGAGGCGATGGAGGAGGAGGCTCCTGCTAAAAGGCCTCATCTTTCACCCAAATCCTGGAAAGACGCATGAACACCTTGCCAAATAGGTGGCATCTCCCCAAAGGCTATAAATGGCTCTATGAAGGCCTTCGTTTCTTCTAAAAGCCTGCTGTCATGGAGCCACCATCAAGATAGGAGGCTGACTCTCTTGCTGTAGGAAAAACCTAATGCCCCAATGGAAGTGAGGTCTTCTCGGTTTGAATTTTAACTGGCTCTGAATTTATCTTATCTTGCTTGCTTAATATAATTATCCTGTCTTCATATTTTCTCTAAAAATTTTAGAAGAAAAAGTTTTATTTTAATATTAAAACTTCGGGATTTTCCGTACTTCCTCGCTCTTTATATTTTCTGATTTGATTTCTTAAACTTTTTATCTTTATCAACATATTTATTTCTATATTTATTTTATATTTGTTTCTTCCTGATTTCTTTTATTTTTTTTGGATGTTTGAGTTGTGCTACATTGTGCTGTGTTTTCCCCCAGAGAGGGAAAGAGAGAGTGATGCTTTAAAAAGGTGAGTGAAAGTGTGACTTAGTTGCAACTTGAGTTCACAACTACCGTCTTGAATGTTTATTTTTCTTTTTTTCCCGTCGTTTGAGATATAATTCGGCACGTCAACTATGCAGGTATAGCAGATTGAGACATCCTTACCAGGATGGTTGAACTAGGATGGCCTCTGTATCGGCTCCAGATCCACATGCTCCAGCAGTTCCATGGAACGCTCCTCCAACCTGTAACCCAACTTTATGGACTCCTCACGCGATCAGAGACAACTTGGTGGACTTGGCTCATGTTCCCAATAATGTACGAAGTTCAGGTTAATTGTGTTCTGTCATTCAGATGGTTGAAATTCACCATTTCATGTGGACAAGTACGTAATATTACGCTGATGATAAGGAAAGGCTTAAGATGTTCACTTTTTCTAATATGCCAATGAATGCCCTAATGCTGGCAGCCATCCCCTCACAGGATGACCAGAAGAATTACATTGAAGTTGTCTTTAACCTTTTGACTGCTGGGTTTTTATGGGCCTGTAATACCCCCTGTGCTAGGTTTTCCCCCCAAAAATGCAAATTTCAGTTGTTCTTGATATTTACTTAAATGTGGAGCCATAATGAGTGATACATATATGATGTCCATTTAAGTTGTTAAATTCTTGACCTTTAAATGGTAAAATGGTAAATATAAATCCCCTCCTGGGCCATCGGGACTGACGCCATATGGCGTCAGTAGCAGTCAAAAGGTTAATGGTCATGAAATCCTTAACAGGGATTCCCTCAACCAGGCAACAGATCAGGACAGGGGGAGGAAGTTTCACGGCTTCTATCTCTCTCCTTCGCATACTTCGTACTTGCTTGTTGTGACCTTCCACCCGCTTCTCCTCCAGGCCAGCCTTTTGACTAAGAAATGTTTTTCCCAGCCATGTTACATTGATCTGTGCCATTATCTGTCCATCTTTAGTTGTTGGCATTTCCAAGGTGATGTCCATAAATGCAGTTTTTTTCATTGATACAGGGCGTTCTTCGGGCTCTTTAATGGAGGGGCAGTTCTGACGAGGACCCCCGGACCGAGGAGAAACGCTTCATATGGCCCGTCAGTTATAGTCCATTGCTGAATGGCATCAGATGATTCAATCGAGACGGCTTTTAGTTCAGAGCTCGGAGCCATTCGGCGCGTTAGTATTTTTTGTAACTAGTTGCTTCAAAGAATTCGATTTGTTCATATATAAGCATTTATTCGCTTACTGCATCACTGTAGCTTGCTATTTTTTGGTTTGTGCCTCCTCAATATTTCCTTGTCGAGTAAGCTTAAACTAATATCACATTTTTCGAGTTTCCTTTGACCTAACCTAACGTGGCCTTGTCTATTCTAACCATTCTTAGCTAACCTGGTTTTAGTTCTAACCCTTGACCTTAATAACCCACCCTAACCTCGTCTAACTCCATTCAAATGTCGCATGACAAGGTCACGTTAGGCCAGGAAGGAGTGCAAACTCTCCACACCGCGGACAACATTCAAATAAGTTTAAACGTTTTATCAATTACGTTCATATGTATACATTGAGGAGGTACTATAGAAAGTTAGTTTGCCATTCACTTAATTTGGGTGATATAAGTAGACGTGATCAAAGGTCACACGGGACTTGGAAGTTTGCCCCCTTGTTTAAGAGGAGATTCCTCCCTTGGAGAGAGAAGCCTTTAATGAGGTGAGTGAATATGGGATTTAGTTGCCTCTCGAGTTCACAACTCCTGTATTGATTGTTGATTCTTGAAGATCCTTTGGTTTTTTACTTAAATTTATTGTTTTAAACCAAATGTGCGAGGTTGGTTAAGGCAATTGTATCCCGTGTTGGAGTAGCAGACAGCCGATATCCGGGAGGCAGGGCAAGGGTGGCCTTCTCTTGGCATTGGCTCCAGATCCACTTGTTCCAGCGGCTCCACGGAACGCTTTCCCAGCCTGCAACCCAGCTCCGCGGGCTTCTCACCCTATCAGAGCCAATTTGGTGGAGTGCTGTTCCCCTGAGGGATCGGACTGAGGTTCTCCTCGACATAAAGTCCCTTTATGTCGAGGAGAACCTACTTTCTCTGGGAAAGCGGCGAATTTGGCGAGAGGTCACCTTTTATCTGCTCATGATGAGGTTAGCGTAAATGAACAATATTAGAAGCACCACTTGTATTCCAGGTGTTGGGTGAAACATGGAGACGCTGAGTGGGGTTCTTGTAGAAAGGCCTCAAGGACACCGGAACCGCTTGCCGAACAGGTGTCATTTCTCAAGGCAGGAATTTTATTTTTCAATTACAATCTGACTTGAATTTAAATCATATCCTACAAACTTAACACCTTTTTTCCTTTGAGGAATCCACAGCCTGTGACTAGTGGGACTCGTATTAAGATTTCTCACCCTTAGATTCCACCTGCCCAGTCCTCCGTTACATCCCGTATGACGCTCTTCGTTTCTTGGATAGCTCTCGGTCATGGAGCCACCATCAGGAAACTTTCTCGCAATAGGAAACATCTAATGCCCGAGAAAGGTGAGATCTTGCGCTCTGAATTTTGACGGGCTCCCAAGTTTACATTAACCCTTTCTTACTATTACCCTGCCTTCATGTTTTAATATTTTTTCTTTTATGATCTTATCTTTTTATGTTTACGTATTCATTTCTCAACTTTTCATATTTCTTCTATATTCCTTATTGATTTCTTCCTGGATGAACCTAGAGAGGTTGAGGTCTTTTATGGGGTATTTTCTGCTTGGCCCCGCCAGCCTGTAATCCAGTTCCACGGGCCCCTCACCCGATCAGAGACAATTTGGTGGACATGGCTGTTCCCACAAATGCAACAAGTTCAGGTTAATTGTTTCGAAACGCGGAGGATTGAGCCTCGTCTCAGACCCCACCACCAAAGTTCAGAAAGGGAACTTAACTGTTGGCTCGGTTTCTTCTACTCCTGACCGCCTGTTGAGTTGCAAAGTTCACTTGTCAGAGGAGATTCCTTTCATGGCCCATCACTGGCACCCCTTAACTGGATACCAGATAATCAATTTCAATAATGCCGCTGAATGACAACTTGCGTGGCAGGCTGGGACCTCTTGATTGGTAGTGCTCATTGGTATCTTGGCCTGGATTTTTCTTTGGGAACAGCTAAGTGGTCAGCGGAGGAGCGCGCTCCTTTTCCCCGATGGTGGTTCCCCTGTCTGGTGAACCGTCCATGAAGCGAAGACCTGGTGGAGTTTTTTTCCTTTTCACATTAGAGATATCCTTTCTCTCTTTGTTTGACGATAGTCTTTGTTGGTTTTTGACCATGCCCAACACGACCTTGTCTGTTCCGTCTGCCCCTTGGCTAACATGGGTTTAGTTTTATCCCCCTTGACCTTACTAACCAGCTTTAATCAAACCTACCCTTATTAAAATATCACAAGGTCACGTTGAGGAAATTTAGCTTTGTTCAATTCTAAGGAATTGTATTATGCTAATTATGGTGTTATTAAATACAATATGCTTAAATGGCAGATTCAGTATTCTTTTATTGCTAATTCTTGGTTTTCCTTGGTGGCTTGTTCGAGACACGTGCACCTTCTGCTGGTGCGTTTCTTGCTGGTCCCTGCTGCTTTACGTAACAGAAGACCAGATGTGGCCAAAGGGAATGAGGTGGTAAATGCTCCTCTGTCAGGTTTTCCCCGGATTGTTAGAGGAATCGCAACAAATTCATTAAGGTGGGTGACGTAGCAGTGATCGTAAGATTCCGGTTTTAGTGAAATTGTTTTTCCAAACATGACCAGGGAAGACGTATATTTATTTCTAAGGTTATTTTTTGTTGTTTTCAGGGAAAGCAGTAGGGAAACATCCAGGTGTCAATGGAGACACCAGAATTCTAGAAGTTTGCATGGTGTTCACCAGTTCTGCTTGCAGACACCACATCTGCCACTACATCGCCATGGGTCTCGGAACTTCCACACTCCTTAGCAACCTTACTCTTAGCAACCAACTCCAACCTTAGGAATGAAGAGGATTTACCTATAGTCGTGGAGACACTTCATCGATGAAGGCTGTTATGTTAATGAGAATTTTGTGAAACTTATATTCGTGTTGTTGACGTCTCTAACTCCCTGCTTCACTACTTTTTTTTTAAGCACACTTTCACGGTCGCCGGATCAATACATACTGTATATTTGATACATTATTTTTTTTACTTGGTTCATATGTGGACAAATCCTCATTTACCTGTGATCACAGTGATTCCAATATCTTTATCTACTTTACACGTTCGAAATATTAATGAAAATTTACAAAGAAAAAAGTACTGGTCAATGGTCCAGATAAACATGGCGTATGAACGTGCTCACCAGGAACACATTTGATTTTGACCGGCCCCCATTTTTCCTTAACCCTTTCTTGTCTTATAACTTTATAACCCTGTCTTATTTGTTTCTTTCTAAAATCGTATCAACTTTTCATCTTCATTTCTCGATTCTCCATATCTTCTATATTTATTAAAAATGTTATACCATGTTTCCTTTTCACACGGGGCCAATCAAAAGTTCAATTATGTGTTACATGTAATATTTCTGAAGGATGTTTATGAAACATCTAGTGTCAGTGTGATCTGATTTGTCCCGAACATCACCTTTCCAATGGGTTTTTTTAGGTCCTGTTTCCAGATTTATTAATAGAAACTAATTTTCTGAAACTCATATCCCGTTTTTGCACGTATGAGATAAGGGTCGATTCCTGGCGATGCTGTGATTTTCAATAGTGACCGTTTCGCAAGATTTTTTTTTCCATTCCTAGTATCAATTGAAAAATCGCTCCTTGTATTTTCTTCAACCTAATTTCATTTGTGCCTTTTATGTATGGCTCAATGGGATATTTCTATTCATGTCTGTTGGGGTTTTATAAAGAATAGAAAGTGAACAAGCACGATGTAAAAGGTAAGCATGTGACATTTGCGATGCCATCTGTAGAAGGGAATTTTTGTCTTTTCTTCATTGAGCAGTTATTTTACTTTTCTAGTGTCTGCAAATGAATATTTTCTTTCGTATTCTTACCTTTACTTGCAAAAGGAGAGAATTAAAGAATAAGGAACGTGTAGGCACCCAAATAACAGTTGATATACTGAATCAACTTTACTATAGTTTCCGTCCATTTCGAATGTAATTTTTTTTCTTCAAAAAACCGAATTTTCGAGTCTGTGGGACCGGAGCGAATGAGTAGCCTACGATACGGGCACACTAGATTGTCCCGGGGCGCGGCGGGTCGAAAAGCTATCTACCCTTTCTTTTAATTTCTATTTATTCATTCTCAAATCAGCTGCGTCTTTGGGTATTTAGTCGTCCTCCATACGTTTCTGTGCTCGCTCTTCCCGGGCTGTGCTGGCTGCTTTTTTTTCTGTTATTCCAGTTGTATGAGGAATTTACTTTTTTCGTGGCAGTTACCTCCCCTCAATTTCCTGCGTCCGATTTGCACATGTTTAAGGGCACATCCTCATTTATTAGAAGCTAGGGTTCTGTCGAAATCCCATGTTTATATCTCGAAGAGGTTGGCCCTTAGAGCCGACCGGTTTCGGTTTCATCATTGAATGAGAGGAGCGCGAAGACTGACGGCCGCGCAGAGTGGCTCCTGCCCTCAATCTCGCCGACGCAACAGCAGATGAGACAGCTACGGCCCGGAGTTTCGGCGAGGACGAAAAGCCAATTTTGGTCCCAATTCGCCACGAACTTGTCCTGCATCTTGTTCATATCTACCCCCTTGCCAATTTTCGCATTGAAAGGCGATGCATTGATCTATTTTTCGACCAACGACGTTTGTTCCGTTGTCACTTTCACACGGATGACATAATGGACACTCCCCTGCCGTGATAGGTTGTACACATCCACGTGTATTTTATCATCTCATGTTGCCAATTACACTGCTGCAATATAATTTGCATCATATAACTACAATTGCTCGGAGAAACAATTTTAGCCGAATGGCTGGCCCCCTAGGACTCAATATACCACCGTAAGTTCACATAAATTTCACTTGGTGCTGCTGGCTGATGTAACAGAATTAGCATGCTTATCTCCGGATGTAGCAATAGAAAACCACGAGGCTTCCACGACATAGGGTAGAAAATTTGAATGATAAAAAATTGAGAACCAGATGGATCTCACTGGAAGGGGTCGTTGCAGGACAGGTAGATGTCTGTTGTAACGGCTTCGCGCACTTGCCAATAGTTAAACTCTTCCGTCGTTGATCGTCCGATTATCTGTCCCTTTTTTAGATCTGATGCTTGTTTTCCCGAATTAAATGCCTATGCGATAGTGCTCTGAAGATGAAGATTTTTGAAGAAGAGGTGGAAAATTCCACTCGGCTTCACTACCCCGTGTGAAGTGGGTATGAGCGAAATGGCATCCTATTTCTATACGCTTGATGTATAATGCCGCTTTGGACCTCAGAGTCTATGACATCTTGCACCACGTATATCAGAATTTCCCTGAGTAGTTCTTGCCTTTTCAAGATATAGTTGATGCGTCTCCCACGTTCCATCTATACCATGGACTGCATGCCTTAACGTATCCAGGGACTCCTTTCGGGCCAAGTGAAGTCTGCTCTCGAGTTTGGCAGAGCGTCGCAGCCAACCACCCAAAACCGCACGTCTTTGAAGGTTTCAAAAAGATTCATCTGGTAACTCGTGGCATGGGCTTGTGCAAAACGAAGGAAAATCTTGTGAACCTAGAAAACTCTCCCGCTGGGGAAGTTTCGTCCTGTGGGGAGTCGCTTGGGCATGGAGGGTTTCGCCGAGGTGGGGGACGAACAGTAACATCCTCGCTGCTGCTATGTCAAGTCCCTATGTAGTAAGAATGTGTTTTCTGGATTGAACCGGGTCGATCTCCCTGGAGGCACCCGTTTAGTGAAGACTCCATGCAGCGTTAGAAAGCAGAGAAACTGCGACATGGCTTGAGACTGACGTTCCGGACCACGAATGGGCATTATGTACTGGCGCCCTGCCAGCCATAGCCGTTAACCGTTGCAATCGGAGGGAATCAGGAAACACCCCACATGCATAGGTTGCAGCTCGAAAAGGCGTTCTGTCGTATTCGTGTTGCACATCCAACGTGAATCTGTCTGGGGATAACAATCCGGGGCATCGTGAATTTCGGCGATCGTTCTAAATATGGTCAAGACCATGGATTTGAATCTCGTCGTGGAGGTATCAGAAGCCGGCGAGCCGGTCCTGAGACAGGCCACCATATATGCATCCAGGCTTCAAGTTTCCCCGTGCGAGCCTCGAGGGGATGGCCGGGACCGGCCGCGAAGGTTCTCTGGGACTCCTTTTCCGCAATCCCCCTGCGTCCGGGTGGAGACTCCCAGATCGGGTCACTTTGTCGTCAAGGAAGGTGACGTTAGCCTGCAGGAAGAATCTGCTGCCTTTCTTGCGAGTTCGATTCGGTCCGTCGATTGAAACGTGCGATGCTCTCACGTGAACCGCATGCCACGCTGGACTGGGAGGGCGAGATTGCCAACGGAGAGCGTAGCCAAGCGTGAGCCTATCACTCGTCGCCCATCCATCCTTGCCTTTGAGTCTAATGGCAGCGCCAGACCGTCCCGTCTCTCCGCACGTAAGGGACTGAACCCCGCCTATCCGTGGAGAGGTGAAGGGGGGGTCATCAGGCGCATGCACGTGTCACCTAGGTCTTAGAAGGTTCGGCGGGAATTTTCGAGGCACAGGCGACCAGTCCCAAAACAATTTGTCGTGTAGGGAAATGTGGGGCAGAAGGGAAACGTTTACGGCCGTGTGAGAATGTGAACCGTACCGACATCGGCAAAGTTTTGCGAATCTCATCGAGCGGCAAAACTCTCCCGTAACGTTGGCGTCATCTGAATGCACGATCCGTTTGACGGAGATGGCAGCATAGTGCAATTTGGAATACATTTTTTCCCATGAAGAACCCTACGTCGCTCTTTTTACCCAAAACCGGAAGGCGGCGGCTCACTCGCCCTGTGCGTGGCTTAATCCGACAGGTTGAGTGACCGTTGCAATATGCGGCGGCGAGATCGAGTGTAGGAACAGCTCTGTGCGGCCGTAGGCATTCGTGCTTCTCTCATTTCATTATTTTATCAAACCAAAGGTTAAACGTATAGCTTGCGCGATGCTAACCACTATCTAGGCCGAGCGACAAATAAATGTTTGGGCGTGTGTGTCGGCTCTAAGGGTCAAACGTTTCGAGATATGCAAGGTAATTAACTTTACTTTTGCAAGTAAAGACAAGAATGCAGGAGAAAATATTCATTCGCAACCGTCACAAGAAAAATATTGACAAGATACAATACACATCACTTGCTCAATAAATACAAAAATTCCGAGTGAATACTTGGCCATTATGATGGCAATTACGGAGAGATCCTATTCATACCCTGTTCGGCTTCTAATTTAAAATGGGATCACAGCCTTCTATGGATGACATCGCAAACGCATCGCTGTTTTTTTTTACATCGTGCTTGTATTTCTATTCTTGCTATCATAAAACCCCAACAGGTATGAATTCCATTATGCCATACATAAAATGCCTATACAATGAAATTATGTTAAAGAAAATTAAAGTATATACCCAGGAATCAATCCTTTCCTCACATACCACAAAATATGACTTTCAGAGAAAGAGATTCATCAATAAAACAAAATGCCTTATCTACCACTTAGGAATACTGTATTTAATAATACCATAATTTCCTCAACGTGACCTTGTCGTAACATAGGGGTAGGTTTGATTAAAGTTGGTTAGTTAGGTCAATGGGGTTAAAACTAAAACTAAACCCATGTTAGCTGAAGGGGCATACAGAACAGACAAGGTCATGTTGGGCTTGGTCAAAAAAAAAAACATTAAAAATAGAAAGGCTCAAGTCTACTGCCAGACAAAGAGAGGATGTCTCTTCTGGAGGGAAAAAGAAAACTCCACCAGAAGACCTTCGCTTCATGGAAGGTTCACCACACTTCGTGGAATACCCACTACACAACACCTAGCTGTTCCAAACCGAAAAGCAAAGTCGAGATCCTACGAGGGTAATAAACCATGCCACAACAGGGCCCAGTCTGCCTTGAAGTGACCTTGGCAACTCCACAGGTGGCCTAGAGCACCGTCCAATCCTGATGGTGGCTCCACGATTGAGGGGTATCCAGGAAACGAAGGACGTCGTACGGGATACAATGACCTACTTCCCGGAGAAGTCCATTCAGTCTCTCCTGAAGCAATCCAGTGAATTAAAATCCTCAAAATACACTTGTTATACACTGGGTTTTGAAAATTATGCATAGTTTGTGCGATGCTTCTCACCATCAGAATCCCTTGAATCTCAACACGAGTCCCACTGGTCCCAGGCTGTGGACCCCTCAAAGGAAAAAGAGGTATTCATTAAATCTGGGGAATCAGATTGTAATTGAAAAGCAATACAATTGTTGCCTTTGGGGAAATGACACCTGTTCGATTCTGGTGTCCTTGGAGACACTGACTGGGGATGCGATAGAGAGAACTGGTGGAAGGTCGTTTCACCCAACACCTTGAATACAAGTGGTGCATTTCACTTTCTTCATTTACGCTAACCTCATTCATGAGCAGATGAAGGAGAATCATCTCCAAATTCACCGCTTTTGTAGAAGTTCCCTCCATGTTGAGGATATCCTCAGCCCGATCCTTCGGGGAACATCAACCATGTCCACCAAGTTGTCTCCGAACGGGCGAGGAGCCCATGGAAGTGGGTTACAGGCTCGGAAAGCATTCCGTGGAGCCGCTGGAGCAAGTGGAACTTCAGTTCAGGCTTGCTCCTCTGCAAACCTGCGCAAAGCGGCCATGCTTGCCCTGCCACCCAAGTAAAATCGGCCCAATCTGATATTCCTATACAATTGACGTGTGCTTAATCAAACACGCACATTTGTTTAAAAAAAATTTAAGTGAAAAAAAGGATATTCAAGATTAAACTATCAAGACAGGAGTTCTGAACTCAAACTCAGTCCCACTTTCCTTCACCTCATTAAAGGCTCTTCTTTCTCTCCCTCTCTGGGAGAAAAAACTAACGGGGGGGGCAACATTTCAAGTTGCCTAATGTGACCTTGTCATGTGACATTTTAATGGAGTTAGACGATGTTATGGTGGGTTATTGAGGTCAAGGGTTAGAACTAAAACCACGTTAGCTAAATATGGTTCGAGTAGAAAAGGCCATGTTAGGTTAGGTCAAAGGAAACTCGAAAAAAAATTGACCTTAGTTCAAGCTTACTTGAAAAATATGTATAGCTTGTTAGTTTTTCGTTTGTGCATCACATCAACATAAAGTGATGCAGTAAGCGAAAAAGTGGTTATAAACAAATAGTTAAAAAATTCTCTAAAGCAACCAGTTCCAGAAAATCCCAACGAGACGAATGGTTCAGGGCTCTGAACTTAAAGCCTTCCCTTTTGAATCATCTGGTGCCATTCAGCTACCGGCTATAATTAAAGTACCATACGAGGCGTTTCTCTTCCTCAGTCAGGAGGTCGATCATCAGGTCTCCCCCTCCATGAGCACACCCAGCATCAATGAAAAAACGCAATTATGGACATCACTATCTTGCAAATGCCAACAACTGAAGGTGGATATTATGACAGATCTATGTTACGTGGCTGGGGAAAAAAAAAATATTTTTCTTGTCGTCAATAGGCTGGCATGGAGAAGCATGAAAATTAGCCGAAAATGGTTTGTTCCCACAAAAGCAACATGTCCACCAAGTTGTCTCTGATCGCGTGAGGAGCCTGTGGAGCTGGGTTACAGGCTGGCGGAGAGTTCCGTGGAGCCAAAGGAGCAAGTTGATATGGCGCCGATGCAGAGGCAAGCCAGCAAAAAGAGGCCATCCTGGCTCGGCCACTCCGGTAAGGGTGCCTCTGTCTGCTAATAGTGCATTGTTGGCATGTGCCTAAACCAACCTCGCACTCCTGTTAAAAAAATTAAAATGAACATTCAAGACAATAGTTGCGAACTCAAGTTGCAACAATGTCACACTTTCACTCATCTCAATTAAGGCTTCTCTCAATCTCTCTCCCCCTCTCTCTCTTTCTGGGAGAAAATATCTCAACGTAGCACAGCTCAAATCCAACATTTAAAAAATTAAGCAATCAAGAAGAAACCGCTAATTATAATTGAATTGCAAAATAAATGTGTAAATATAAAAAGAAAATAAAACACTGAAAAAAATGAACATATAAAAAGGGTGAAGGAGTATGGAAAATCAAGAAATAAAGGTTAAGCTAAAATAAAAAGCTGAGATTTTCTTTTCTTCACAATCTTTGGAAGAAAACCTGAAGACAGGATATTATGGTAAGGAAGGGTTAAGGTAAAATAAGAGCCAGTCAAAATCCAGAGTGCGAGAAGACCTCACTTTCCTTGGGGCATTAGGTGTTTTCTATCGCGAGAGCCCTCCTCCTATCCTGATGGTGGCTCTATGACTAAGGGTTAACCAGGAAACGAAGAGCGTCATACGGAGTCATAATTGTTGTTTTGGAGAAATGCCACACTGTTCAGCATGGTGTTCATGTGTTCGTCGAGATGCTGAGTGGGGAGGCGAAGGAGGAGGCTCCTGTTAGAAGGCCTCATATTTCACCAAAACCTGGAACAAAAGTGGAGCATTTCCTTATATTCATTTACGCTAACTTTATCCTGGAACAGATTAAAAGGTAATTTCTCGTCAAATTAACCGTTTTTCTAGAAAAACTTCATGCATCTTGAGGAGAACCTCAGCCCGAGCCATCGGGGGGACAGCACCCATGTCCACCAAATTGTCTCTGATTGGGTGAGGAGCCCATGGAACTGGATTACAGGCTGAGGAAGCATTCCATGGGGCCGCTGGACCAAGAGGATCTGGAGCCGATGCAGAAGCCAACTTGCAAGAGTAGGCCATCATGACCCTGAAACTCAAGTAAGGGTGGCTCGGTCTGTTAATTCTTGCACAGTTGACATGTTCCTAGTTTAAAGCTCGCAACCTTGTTTTTAAAAAGATGTAATAGCGAAAACAAAGGATCTTCAAGAATAAACAATCAAGACAGGAGTTGTGAACTAAAGTTGCATCTACGTCCCCCTTAAACTCACCCCATAGAAGGCCTCCCCCCCCCCCTCTCTCTCTCTCTATATGGGAAGAAAATCATCTTGAACCAGGGGGGGAAACTGTTAAAAACCTTGTGACCTTTGGTCATGTCCACTTATGTCATTCACAGACTATGACTCACATACGATGACTAACTCTGCAACTATAAACCAAACCTCAATTTACACATATATGAATGTGATTGACAAAACTTTTGCACCGATGTGAATGTTTTCCGCGGTGTGGAAATTTGTCACTCCTTCAAAACTCAAATTGCCTAACGTGACCTTGTCATGTGACATTTTAACGGAGTTAGTCCATGTTAGGATGGGTTATTGAGGTCAAGGGTTAGAACTAAAACCACGTTAGCTAGAGATGGTTAGATTTGATAGACAAGGCCATATTAGGTTAGGTCAAAGGAAACTCGAAAAAATTTATCTTAGTTCAAGCTTACTTGAAAAATACGTATATTTTGATGTGAGGCACAAACCAAAAACTAGCAGGCTAAAGTGATGCAGTAAGCGAATAAATGGTTAAAAATAGATAAAAAAAATTCTCTAAAGCAACCAGTTCCAGAAAATCTCAACGAGACTAATGGTCCAGGGCTCTGAACTTCCCCTTTTGAATTATCTGGTGCCATTCAGCTACCGGCAATGATAAACGTACCATATGAGGCCTTTCTCTTCCTCAGTCATGGGGTCCTCATCAGAATTCCCCCCTATATGAAAAGGTCTGGAGCACACCCTGCAACAGCACCTACACCCTGCACATTCTCACATCTTAAAAAGAATGACCATGACTGACCCACCAGGCGAACGCAGGTAAACTCTGTTCCCACTGGTATTGTTTCAACACCATGTCGTTTTTGCGAACCTCAAAGTCCCCATAACATGCTCTCCAGCCAGCAAGGGAACAAAATTCAAAATCATTTATCTCACCATTTCAGCTTAGCGAAACGTGTTTGTTACTTCGATTCGATAAATCTATGTCAACGGTAATTCCTATTTTCAAGCAGAAAACACCTCTCTCGCATCTTCACCCATGAAGAGAAATCTTGGCATTCTATTCACTTCTTGGTTAACCCAATTGATTACAGTCCCACTATTAGAAAACTCAAGGGGGCTCCCACGCGGATGTGGGAGGACCCGAGACCACACTATCGTATGAAAATTTTAATTACATCCTGAATATTGCAAGTGATTCACGCGTGCACCAACTGAATTTAGGATTCGCATTGTATAGCATTCCTTAGTAATTTCCATTAATGAGCTCGTAGTGTAACAACTAAAGGAGCACAGATTAATATGGCAGAGATCTATGTAACATGGCTGGGAAAAAATTTTCTTACCGTCAATAGGCTAGCCTGGAAGAGAAACTGATAGAAGACCTTGACTTGTACAAGGGAGTATGAAGTGTGAGAAGGAAAAAGAGATTGTGAAGCGTCCTCCCCGGTCCCACCGGCGTGAATGCCCTTGAATGTCACCTTTCCTCTGTCCTGCCCACCTTTCCGATCGAAGCGCTACTTGCAACGGCCGGGTCTCAAGGCATCCCCTCTCGGGGAATTCCCGTCCAGACGGAAAAAAAAAAACATTCACAATATACCACTCATTTTCCCTCTTTTTCGGACTGCGCGTCTGCATATTCCGTTCTCTCCAAAAAAAAAAGTTTCTTCATGAGAGGGTGCCGGACGATGAACGAATAATTCCATGACAGCGATAGAAAAAAGGGTCAGTAACTGCAATACAGTAATTGAACTAATTGCAAACAACTTCGTGATAAATTTCGCAAACGCCAATCGCTGGTCATAGAAAGGGAACCCGTAGCCATTAAGTCATTTTTTTGTACGAATGGGGAAAGTCCCACAGTGACCACTAAAGGCATCGAACACATAAGCATCTCCTTTCCTAGTTTTCATACAATTACTCATCGTGACTTTCAGTTAGTTGCAGGATCCCGCTTCGTTAACGATATTTAATCACTTTCATGCAATTCTCGCGCCGAATGGAATGGAATCAGAAACAACAACCAGAAACATAACCAATTATATATGAATTGTCCAGTCGTTAACGAAATTTCTTCTATTCCGAGGGTCTAGAACGAGGTAAAAAAAGGAAATGTGAGCGAGAGAAGCTGGAAAAAGAGAGGAAACGGAGACATTTACTCTCATGACGTGTCGATCGAGACGGAAATTTTTCCGGTCTGCATTCGCCGGTCGGTTGGGGTTTCTCTGAGCTCGGGGGTGACAATTACTGGGAGTTGGTCTCTTTTCTTCCCCGACTGCTGCAGTTCCCCACTGGACTGTCTCGCCGGCATCGGATACCTCCACGACGAGATTCAAGTCCATGTTCTTGACCATATTTAGACCGATCACCGAAGTTCACGATGATGCGCCGGATTGTAATCCCCAGACATCGAGACAGGTTCACGTTCGAGGTGAAACACGAACATGACAGAACGCCTTTTCGAGCTGCAACCTATGCATGTGGGATGTGTTCCGATTTCCTCCGATTGCAACGGTTAACGGCTATGGCTGGCAGGGCGCCAGTACATAATGCCCATTCGTGGTCCGGAACGTCAGTCTCAAGTCATATGTCGGAGCTTCTCTTCTTTCTAACGCTGCATGGATTCTTGACTAAACTGTACAAATAATGGTATTAAGTAGATTGGAAATCAGTCGAAATTCAGTGCGAAAAGACCTCACTTTCCTCAGGGCATTAGGTGTTTTCTATCGGGAGGGAGCCCTCCTCCTATCCTGACGGTGGCTCCAAGACTGGTGGTTATCCAGGAAACGAAGGACGTCATAAGGGATATAATGGGGGATTGGATATGTGGAACCCGAGGGTGAGAAATCTTAATAGCAGTCCCACGGGTCCTAGGGCTGTGGTTCTCTCAAATGAATAAAATGTATGCATTACGATTGTGGGAAGTGGTTTTAAATCAAATCAGATTGTAATTGAAAAACAAAAAGTCGATGCCTTTGGGGAGATGACATCTATTCGGCAAAACGTTGCAGTGTCCTTGGAGATGCTGAGTGGGGAGGCGATGGAGGAAGGGGTTCCTGCTAGAATGCTTCCTCTTTCACCCAACACCTGAAATATAAGTGGTGTGTTTCAATTTGTGCATTTACGCTAACCTCATCTATGAGCAGATAAAAAGATGACTTCTCACCATTAACAGTTTTTCTAGAATATAAAATCCCCTCCTTTTCGAGAACCTCAGCCCAATCCTTCGGAGAACATCACCCATGTCCACCTGGCTGCTGGGGGAGCGTTCCGTGGAGCAAATGGATCTGGAGCCGATGCAGAGACCAACCAGCGAGATGTGGCCATCCTTGTCCTGCCACCGAGGTAAAGGTGGCTATGTCTGCTATTCCTACAGTTGACATGTGCTTAAGCCAACCTCACCCTCCAGGTAAAAAAAAAAAAGGAAATATAAATGGAAAAAAAGATCTTCAAGAATAAACAATCAAGACAGGAGTTGTGAAAAGTTGAAGCTCAAGAACACTAACATTTTCACTCACTTCATTAAAGGCTTCCTTCTCTCTCTCTCTTTGGGAGGAAACTCTTCTTGAACTAGGGAACAAACTACCAAAGACCTTATGACACTTGCCCACGTCAACTTACGTCACACACATTCTGCGAATGGCAAACTCTGCAACTTTCAACAATGCCTCCTCAATGTACACAATATGAATGTGATTGACAAAACGTTTGAACTGATCTGAATGTTTTCCGCGGTGTGGAAATTTGTCACACCTTCAAAATTCAAATTGCCTAACTTGACCTTGTCATGTGAAGTTTTAATGGAGTTAGACGAGGTTAGTGTGGGTTATTGAGGTCAAGGGTTAGGACTAAAACCACGTTAGCTAAGGGTGGTTCAAGTTGACAAGGACATGTTAGGTTATGTCAAAGGAAACTCGAAAAAATTTATCTTGGTTCAAGCTTACTTGACAAGTACGTATACATTGAGGAGAGGCGCAAACCAAAACTCGCAAGTGAAGGTGAAGCAGTAGGGGAATAAATGATTATACATAAATAGATAATAAATTCTTTTTAGCAACCAGCTCCAGATTATGCTAACGAGCCTAAAAGCTGAGAGCTCTACATTTTAAGCCACCCCTATTGAATCTGGTGCCATTCAGCAACTGGTTAAATTGACGGGCCTCATGAGGCTTTTCTCAGGCAGGCGGTCCTCATCGAGACTACGTCCTCCATGGAAAGGTCTGGAGCACATCCTGCATCATTAATGAAAAATCGCAATTATGGACATCAGTCTTACAAATGCCTACATTTTCTGTTGCATCTTAAAAAATATGACCCACATGAAACAGGTGGAATTAAATCAATTTTTTCTTGCCGTAAAGTATGTGTATATCAATGTGTATTTTTTTGCATTCATGATTGAAAGAAATAAAAGGGAAAGCTATAGGAAATTGTTTTTATATTGGCCTAATGTTTGTCTCGTAGAGAAAGGGGGGGGGGGGTTCAAGCGAAAACGAAATAACTGACCTACCAGGTGAACGCAGGCAAGCAATTTGAGCTTAGCTAAACATCTTTATCACTTCAATAAAACGACATCAACCGTAATTTCTGTACTTTACAATCAGACAATCAACACCTCTCCCTCGCGTCCTCAACCAAGAAAAGGAATCTAGGCGTTCTACTTGCCTCAAGGTGAATCAAATCGATTTCAGTTCCACCAATATTAAGAAACTCGAGTGAACTCCGGCGCGGATGTGTGAGGACCCGGACCAGACTAGCTTACGAGACTTTTCAGTTCGATGCGGAATAATGCAAGTGATGTTCGCGCGTACTAACTGAAATTAGGATTCGCAGCGTATAGCATGCCTCTTCCATTTCCCGTAATCGGCTACGTATTGTAGCGACTTAAGGTGGACGGATTCTTATGGCAGAGATCCGACTATGCAATATGGCTGGGAGAAAACATTTCTTACCGTCAATATGCTGGTCTGGAGGAGAAGCAGGTAGAAGCCCACTATGAAGTGTGAGACGGAAAGAGAGAGGTAGTGAAGCGCCCTCCCCCGTCCCGCCAGCGTGAATGCCCTTGACTGTCACCTTTCCTCTGCCCTGCCCTCCTCTCCAATCACAGCGCTACCTGCGACTGCGGGGTCTCAAGGCATTCCCCCTCAGGGAATTCCCGTCCAGACAAAAAAAATTCATGGAATATGCCGCGCTCCTTTTCCTTCTTTTTCGGACTGCACGTCTGCATATTCCGTTCTCTCTAACAATAAAAGGTTTCCTCATGAGAGGGTGCCGGACGAGGAACGAACGATTCCATGACAGCGATAGAAAAAAGGGTCGGTGACTCCATTACAGTAATTGAGCTAATTCACAAATAATTTCATTATAAAATTTCATAAACGCCAGTCGCTTGTCATAGAATGGGAACTCGTAGCCATTATTAAGTTTTTTTTTGTACGAATGAGGAAAGCCCTGCACTGACCACTAACGGCATCGAACACATCAGCATCTCCTTTCCCAGTTTTCATGCATTTAATTACTCATCGTGACTTTCAATTAGTTCCAGGATCCCGCTATTTCGTTAACGATATTTATTCGTGTTCATGCAATTCTCGCGTCGAATGGAATGGAATCAGAAACAGCAACCAGGAACATAACCAATTATATATGAATAGTCCGGTCGTTACCGAAAGCTCTATTCCGAGGGTCAGGAACAAGATTTAAAAAAAAGGGAATGCGAGTGAGAGACGCTGGGAAAAAGGGAGGAAATTATCGAAAAATTATCCGACGAATTTCTTCTGTAGAACCATGGGATTAAAAAAATACATATAATCGGAAACCTTGCTGCTTCCTCGTTCGACACTCGTTCTCCCCACGAGACAAGACCACAGAAACGGAACAACTCCTTCCCGTTGGAAGAGCGACTCGATATGGGATTCTTCTCGCTTTCGGTGAACCTTCGTAGCAGCCCAAAATGCATTCTTGTTGCCTTTCCCCTCGGGGAATTCATGTCCAGACTGGAACAACAAAAAAATTATTGGAACGTATCGCTCTCGTTTTCAAACTGTACGTCTGCACGTCCCATTTTCTCCAATTTTTTATGATGATGCACTCACGATTCCATGACAGCAACGGAAAAAGTCCAGCAACATTATTTCAGTATTCGAGTTCATTTGCAAATTGCTTCGCAATAAATAAAAAAAAACTTGAAAACGCTATTTGTCGAATGGGAACTTGTCGCCATTCTTCTATAATCTGTTGGAGTAATTTATGTTGTGCTGTAATTTCGGAAAAAAATTGTCACGCACCGACCATTTATGGCATCAAGAAAATTAGCATCACCTACTTCCAATTCTCAAATCTTTTATGATTAAGAGTTATTTACTCATTATGAGTCGGATCCCCCATCTATACGCGGTGATGGAATCGTCATCTAACTGAATCCATCTGAACTAATGTTCTTCACTACTTTCTGTAGATGCCAAAAACCCAAGCCCCATGCAGTGCCAACCTGGACGGCGGCTCTTTCGTCGCGGCGCCTNGGGCGACATCCAAAGTATGTAGAGAGAAATACGGCGGATTGGAGAACGCTGAAGTCGGGAACGAAAGAACCAGCCAAATAGTATAAAGGATAAGGGGGGGGGTTGACGCATTTAGACCAGAGTTGGGGGGGGGGCTGAAGCCGCCCCCCCCGCCTCCTCGCTTCGCCGTTGGCCACACGTGAATCTCACGAGATCTTGTCACTAAGGACAAACGGACAAGGTCGCAACCTTGTCCGTTTCAACTTTCCCTCAATTTCCCGTTCGCTTCTCACAAGGGCGATCTTTATCGCCGATCTCTTATCACATTGTCCCTGTCGCACTGAAATGATGCCTATATACACCGCGCGTAGAAAGTAAGCGTCCAGTCCTCCACTAAGACGCACCGTGTTGACAGCACGTAGGGAACCTGACTAACAAGAAATTGTAGTTTTCACTTTCGATGATGAAACCGCCCTCGCCGGGAAACAAGACCTCCTTACTCGAGTAAGGAGGTCTTCTCTTCTAGGAGGCCTTCTATAACCCTCCCCCCTTCCCCATGCAAGCACACTGGCTGCTCCATGTCTATTGACATAATGACCATAAACGATTATTGAAATCTGCATGCGTCTTCAAGTGAACGAGTGACTTTCAGTTGGTATACTATACGGTTTTTCTTAGGTACCTAGCATGAAAATGCCGCTATTGTAATCTGTACTGGAGGCCCCAGGAAGGGCTTGTCATCTGGGGTCCAGCAGCTGGTCGAAATGGAGGCACGTTTACGTTTTACACGTTACTCGACGATCCGACAGTCACAGAAAATGCTGGATGGTGGAAATGGATTTGGGGCTTGCTAATCGGTGGATGTTCGGTACTGAAATCGAAGATGAACTTCGGAAGACGTACCAGAGAGAAAAACAATTGGAATGAGCTGTAATTGCAATGAGCTTTTTATAATTAGCTTAATTGCAATGAGCTCGATATAAATTAATTTGATTCAGGTTAGATTTAGCTTCGACAGATGGAATTCATCGCATCATAAAAAACTCATCCAATTCAGTAAGAATGAGACTGTAAATAAAAGTGGGAAGGTATTAAATTCTGAAATGAGTGGATCAGAAGACAATGTAGCCGATTAGTGTGATAGAAGGTACTATCCTACATTGTCTGGGATAGTCTGGGATACCAGCAAGCTGAGAACCAGATTGAGGATGACCAGTCACCCAGAACTGCAGCTGATTGGAGGAAGAAAGAAAAAAAAAGGAATTCTGGAGCGCTTTAACTCCTCATAGGCCACTCACCGGGACTGTCACTGACCGGGAGGTCTAAGGAGGGAGGTTCCAACCTCCTAAATTCCCCCCTTCCCTACGCCACTGTCTTCTAGAATGGAAGGGTTATATTCCTGGTGGCAAAGCAAAGGGGGAATACAGGAGGTGCATACCACGATGGCACGTTTACTTTGGGACATTTCGACATCGAAGCAACATCGATGAACGACATTCTTAAAACGTAGCTGGGTTGTTTTGTGTTACATCGATCGTCGCTTCGATTATCGAAGATATTTTATGGCATCGAACCACTTAACGCTAGCCCTTACGAACTCATTTAATTTATCTAACTAATTCATCATCGAGTCACGGGAATGAATTATAGATGTAGCAGACCGGTTTCCCTCCATCACCTTTATTGCTCTCATTCGATGGAACTACGCCCTCGTCTTGCAGACGAACCCGTGAACGTCCCAACCCCCCACGTCGTCCCACGACGACACGACCGCCGCGGCGCAGTCTCCCCTGCCGTCTTCCGGGAAGCCGAAGTCCCACCGATCCACCCCGATCGGTAGCCCGTCCACCCACCCCCAGGTCCCACCCGTCTTCCTCATCCCCAGCCAGAACTGCGACGCCTTCACCGGCACCGGGAACTCGTAATCGAAGACGGACATGAGCTGCACCACCATCCAGTCGTCGTTGCCGATCGTGAGGAGATCCGACCCCTCGCTCCCCTGGCAGTATTCCCTCGCCTCGTCGAAGGTGAGAGCGAAGTCCGAGACGTAGAAGCAGTAGAAGATCCCCATCGGGATGTATCCCGGAGGACATCCGGGTCCCTCCGCGAAGCAGAGAAAGTTCTTCCTCTGCTCGCAGTCGTCGTTCTGCCACCGATCCAGCACCAGGTGCACGACCCCGTCGCTCCCCAGCGGGTTGAACTCCTCCCCGACCCAAAAGTTCTGATAATCCTCGTCCGACCCGTCCACGAAGTCGAATTGCCACGGATCCACGTCGAGCGGTCCCGTGACCTCCACCCCGATCCACAGCGTCGGCGTCTTCGAGTTCTCCTGGATGAAAAGCTGCTCCTCCCGACCGTGGACGCTCGCCAGATCCCCCGCCGAGGTTCGACAAAACGCCCTCGCATCCTCCCACTCCGCCCCCGCCTCGTCGAAGTAATAACAAAAACCCTGGAACTCCAGCCAGCCCTCGGGACACCCCGGCTCCGGCGTCGTCGGCCCCGTCACCGCCGAGTCGTAACTGATGCTGAACCGATGCCCCGCGTTGTTCTGCGCGTCCGAATGAAACGTGACGAAGACCCTATTCGTCCCCGTGAAGACGTCCCCGGACGCGCTGTTCCCACAGAGGAGCAGCGACTGTCCCGTGAAGAAGAGAATCTCGATGTAGTCGGCCGTGCAGCCAGCGCTGTCCTCCAGGTTCACTTCGTCCAAGTGGATGGTGATGGAGCGTTCCTCCGCCAGCTGGAAACAGTGTTCGAAGGTCTTTAATTCTATATGATTCTAGTTTCGATCGTTCTGGACCTCATCCACGGAGGGAATGAAGAACTTTTACTCGACTTGTCGAATTCTATCCGATGGCACCCCCGACGACAGAAGACGGGATAGGCAATATTTTCCCTTAAATTGGAGAATTTAGCAAGAATAAGTGAAAAGTTAGGACTGAAAAATTTCCCCGGATTTGGAACGTCACATTTATTGCACGAATCCCTTTCTGTCACGCTTCTTGGAAGAAATCATGAGCGTTTAGCATTAGTCCCTCAAATCTGACCTCTGACGAACGAAAAACTGGTGGACCGCCCACCCTTTGCGACAGTAGCGACATCTCCTTTCAGGCTCGAATAGATGACAACTCCCACGATCCGCTCGCATCGAGATCATTATTCACAGCTCAGTGGTTCATGTCGTTTCGCTTTAGCATAACGAAGTATCGCCGGCCTTGTAACATGGCACGGCTTCGTATGGCTTACCACTCTCCGGTTGGAATAATTTTAATTTCGAATTTCTTAATCTTGCTCAGATTGACCTTCCTAGTGAAACGAGTGAAAGAAAAAAATTGAAAAGAATAAAAGAAACATTTAATTGCATTTGAATCGCTGTGAAGAAAAGCGATCACTGACTAACATGATGTGACGTGAAATGGTCTTGAAATGGCATTGAAACGGTCTGGAAGTCCGAAACAGGGTTGCCAGAAGTCGCGACTCACCCGAATGTCCCAGAGGCAATCGGCACCGTTGGGATAGTCGCTGGGATACCCCGGCGACTGGATCACGCCCGAGACCTCCGTGAGGATCCCGCCGCAGTCCGACTGGACCAAGTCCGACCGGGCCAGAGCACCAGCCCAGAGCGACCATACTGCCAGCACCAGTGCGATCGCCGCCTGCGGGGCGTCGATCGAAGGCAGGGTTATATTGAGGCGAGATGATCTCATCCATGAGATTAGCTCATCCATGAGTTAATCCAGCTTCGAATGATAAAAAATTATCGGCTCGATCATCTCATGATTCGATTCAACAAGCATAATCCTCTCGTATAGATCGTCTATTAATCGATTTACTGAAAATCCCTTAGTCTTACAAGGGGGGGGGGGGTTGGGGCAGTAACGAAATGTGGTCGGAACAAAAACTCACAAGCATGTCGAACGGAAGTGGAAATGAGACGTTTCCCTCGAAGTTCGTGGAGCAGGTGCCTGCTTTCTCAGACCGTGTGGCATCGTCGCATCCCTATCGCCTTGTTTTTCTATTTTTCTTGCACGATTAGGGGCCGTCGATAACGGGTCCGATACCGACGCCCTCAAATGGTTCATCGGCCGAATTTCGCAACGGCTTTCGAGCGGCTGCACGAGACGCTTTCCGGGGGAGGTCGAGCCGCCACGACGGACCGGGCTGGACCGGACTCACGGACGGGATTCATTCCTTTCATAGTTCGCGATGCATGTAATGTTAAGGTATGGTGCCTCATTTTAGACAGTGTAACGTAGACCGTCACGTACGGCTCCTCGCTATTCGTGCTTATGCATTAACTGTAAATTGGCTTTTCGTTCTTCTAGGGAATATTGTCGCAAACGGTTGAGCACTTTAGGATCGAGGATGCCGTCGGGGACCTGCTCATACGAGGTACTTTCAGTTCGGGTTGCGGACGACAACATGGAGTCAACGTGACATCGACACGTGGACGAGATGACCAGAGCCACCATTCATTCAATTTTTATGCAAAGTAGGTCTCGATGTTGCGGAGATATTCACATTTCCATGGATTAGAATTCCCAGTCGAACACTCCACCCAAGTAGCAGACTCACGGTGAATCACCGTCGACTCAACAATTATTGCGTTAACAGAGCTTCAATCAACGGGATCAACATTGAAGCATTGTTTAAGGATTCATGCCATGCCGAAGCGTTGTTTTAATTAACACGTGAGCCATGCTGACGTTGAGAATTTGGGGGCAGCGGTCCGAAAATCCTATTTACTGCATTTACTCCGACCGTGAACGGTGTCCCAGCAAGTTTCCGTTACGACTGTGTCACGAAAGTGCGACGCAGAACCCTCCGAGATTTAAAGTTTTGCATCCGTGCTGGTTTCTTTCGGATCCAATCAATGTTTCCTGCACCGAGAGACTCTAGAAGTGCCCACATTTCATTTCCGACAGCTCAAAGGTTGAAAGGTCAAATAAAAAAGAACTTTCTACCGAGAATAGTGCAGCATCGAATCAATGTTTAGTCAATGTGCATAAACTGCGACTGTCGTCGCGTTGAGTCGATGTTCGTTCAAAATAGAAGTATAAACCTTCAACAGTCTATAAAAATTCAATAATTCAGTGTATAAACATTGAATCCACACCAAATCAACGTGGAATGAATGTTATGTGCCATCTGGGTACCTCGCATCTTCCCGTCCCCTCAGGATCAGAATTACTCGAAGTCTCGTTGGGTTCGGTTACCCTTTCCCTCAAATGTCTTGAGGAATCCCAATGCTCATCCCGGTGTCGTCGAAAGATCATGCTGCCATCTCCCTTCTGTTGCAGGAACCTTCGTTGCTCGAAGAGCTACCAGATGACTCTCACGAACATGACGTCACTTTCGTAGGGAATTGAATTCTCACACAAGCAAGAATATCAGGCGAATTTGAGATCCGTCTCACTTCCAACATAGAATCGCTGTTGACCTTGGCCTTTGCCTATCGACATCCTGTCGACATCCTGTCGACATATCAACAGCGTCAAGCAATATACGGCGTCGTGCGGATGCCGAATATCGGGGACTGGGTTGTGGCCCTTGGGAGCCGACCCGTCGATATACCCAAGCTTGCTTTAGCAAGCAGGGTCTCTTATATTTCACTTTTTTTTTTCAAATCTTACGATGTACGTTTGCGACCCTGGACGTTTAAAACGGAAACACGGCCACTCCCGAGGAATCCAAAGAAAACTTTATTGTGTAACTGGTTTAGCAATACTCTGAATGACCTTACCGACACGAGAGAAGACTCTAGCAAGAGGCGATACTGTACAGTGAAGCACGGGGAAAGGCACCATCGGTCAGCCAGCGATACGGTGGGTATGCGCGTAAATACAAATATTTTCAAAGAATTCGTTCACGGGAGAAGCGAATCCAGCGTGACGACGGGCTTCCGTCCCCCCGTCTCGGTCAGACCCAGGGAGTCGTCGATGGAGAACGGCAGGCAATGGAGGTCGGGAAAGTCCTTGGATTCGACATCGCTGCCTCCCGCCAGCATCCCCAGGTCTCCCATCGGCTGGGGGAGCGGCGCGTAGGCGTAGGATGCGTTTTGATTGGTGTAGCTTGGCGCCACGAGGTTGAACGAGGCGGTGTTGTCGTAGCAGGACCAGGGAGTGTCGTAGGTGGCAGCGAATGGCGGTAGTTGATTCAGATTGGTGTACGTTTGACCGACGGTTGGTAAGGGCGCTGGAAAATCAAGAAAATCGCTCAAATATATCAAATTTAGCAAAACTATTATGTAGCCCGTGCAAAAGCACGGAAATATTTAAAAGCAATGAATGTGCACATGGCCATGAGAGACGGTCGCCACACTCCCGCCCACCCCCCTCCCATGCCACCTTGCTGGCCACGTGAGAACACAGGACGCGGCAAAAGCACTCCTAATCTCGATCTGCCCCTGCGCCTCGTTAATTGTCATTGCAAAGGGCGCGGAACCGATGCCGAGCGAAGACGAAGGGCAATCCAAAGATCAATGCGTTACTATGGCTATGGGAGAGCCACAGAGCTAAGAAATAACTGGAGATGGCGCACCCGTTGGAACAGTATAGGCATGCTTGCTGCAATTGGAAATTATCCTCGTTGGGCTCATGGCATCTAGTCACCATTCACTCCTATGGAATTTCCCCCCGATTTTTCGACCCAACTTTATTCTAAAAACTAACTCTTAGGAAAACAGCTCCGACAAACAGCTGCCACGATAGGTCCTCAGAGGAACCAGTAAGCCCTATCGAGTCGTTCCAAGACTTCATTTTATCATGAATTCAATACTTCCAATACATCAGTTAAGGCTAATGCAGAAAGTGGCGATCGGGAATACAGTAGGTCTAAGGGAAATGCCAGCGATTCACGTGGGAAGTGATTCCTAGAGTTTAAAGCAGGCCTGCGGTGCGCATCGGCAGAGTAAAGGAGCAGGCACCGGGGGAGTATTGAGCGGTCCTATCGAACACTTCAGCATGCCCTACTGAGACCCGCCGATACCTCTACCATGCACCAGGTGGTCGCCGTGGACGTGGACGGGGTTCCGATCGATAAAAGGCTCGGGATTCCGATAAATATGTGGGCGGAGATCTCATACCGGCGAGAAAGTCATCCTTCCTCCAGAGATGAAAGGCGACACCAAGCGTAACACGCGGTGACGTTTAACACGTCCCTGCGGAAAAGTCGATATCGGACCCCCAAGGTAGGGAGCGTAGAATACCCCTTTCTCCTGTTGTACTGTTAAGGATGGTCATGGAAAGAGAACGACGGGATGGGGTTCGGTGGTGTAGCGGTAGTACACTTGACATGTCAGGAGGTCCTCGGGCCCCCCCCCCCCCCCAAACATTTTTCATTTCGACCTCTTATCCGAACTCTTCCCCTCTCTCCCCCTAACGTTCTTCGAGTATAAGATCTGACAGTCGCAACGGCATCGTACTTCACGTGCGACCAAGAAACTTACTAGGTGGGACGTAGTTCTTGCGAGGGGGTTCCCTCTTTCGCCATTTGGCTCGCCGATTTTGGAACCAAACTTGGACTCGGCTCTCGCTGAGTTGCAGTCTCAGGGCGAGGTCTTCCCTGGCGAACACATCCGGGTACGGAGCCCTTTCGAAGGCCCTTTCCAGTTCCTCGAGCTGCCAGGCCGTGAAGGTCGTCCTGTCGACGACGAGAGGTCGTCAAATATTTCTGTCGGAAATTTCGCTGGATCGGCCGGAAATGAATTACCTGGTTTTCTTCTTCTTTGGGGATCCGTCGTTCTTCCTCTTCCCCTTGCCCTCTTCCCTCTTCTCTTTGGGGGTAGCTTCCGCCTCTGCCCACGGAAAGAACAAATTTCTCGAAACTTTTACGACAAAATTTGAAGGTTTTATTTCTGACGAACGTACTCGAGTTGCCGGGTTCCTTGCGATCCTTGGCCTGGAGGCAGCCGGGCTCGTTCGCTCCCAGCATATCCGGCTGCAGAGGGAACATGAGTCGGATGGCGGGGAAGGCACCCAAGCGATCGCCACCGGGTCCTCGCTTGCTCCACTCCGATCCCTGGAACGAGGGTCCGTGGCAGACCGGGGTGGCGTGGCAGACCGGGGACGTGTGGCAGACGGAGGCGAGATGCCGACTTCCCTCCCTTTCTTCCTGCTTTATCGCGTTCGCCTGCAAGGATAGGTCACGTTCTGTTTTAACTTTACTTTTTTTTTTCTGTGCCGACTTGGAGAAATCTGTGGTCACAAATGCGATCTGTGGTCACATTAGGCATTCTCGATCAGAGGATGCTTCATATTGTGACGAATCGACAGGTTGTATCTTCTTCCTCCTTCGAGAAAGACGCGGACAAATTCATGCAAAACAAAATTTAAATGCGAGAAATTTAGCAAAATTTGCACCAACGTCCAAGTTACTTTCAGTGTTGAATAAAATGTTCTTAAAATTTATGCGGAAGTGATTTCTTCTACTCGCGAGCTTTCAGAAAAATTGTATGCACATTAATTCGTTCCAATTATATTTGCACATCCAATGCATGTAAGAAATCCGGGAAATAATCGATAAATTATCGAAAAGAACTCACGCCTTTCGGCCAGTCTGAATCTAGCTGGTCTGGAAAGAATTGCCTGCAACTATTGTATGGTAGAGAAACTAGTTGTAAAGGACGAAGGAAAATAGATTAGGCGTAATGGGTTGGAGTTTTCTCCATTACGATGCGTTCCAGAACCGAGAGGTTTTCCTTCCCGTTTACGAATGCGTCATGTGGCTTTTGCAACCCGCTTTGCGGTTTAAAATTAAACAGGAAAAAGTGATTTTTAGTTTAAAATGGTGCAACTTAAAACTCATTTTTGTCAGTGAGAATTGCTTAATATCCAGCTCTTCGACGGACGGCAAGTTCTCCATGCATATTCTTGAGACGAGAGCGCGAAGTCGAAGCCACGGTAATTCCTCGGTTCCGGCACGTCCTTCTTTTTTTTTTTTAAATAAGTAAATCGAAAGGGAAGAAAAAATTCGGGATAAAAAATGCGGAAACGGAAACTCTTTGCAATTTGCACCCGCATAATGCTGTCCCTTCTGCGCCCAATTAAATGCGCGAATTTCTCGATTTTTTCGCTTTCCCGAACGGCGAAAGCGCGAGGAGCAGCGCCGACAGCGATCCGACAATTAACTCCACACGACGCTCATCTGCATCGAGTCGCGGCAGTCGCCCGCCGACGAAACCTGATTGGTGCAAATAGACCCAATTGAACGCGACGATGAGCAGAACTGACGCGGTTAATCGGGAAAAATAAGTCTGAATTAGGTGTCACTTACGGACATGGAAGACGGCAATCGAGGCGGGGCACAGCGGCGGTTGCACTGGTGAACACCGACTGATGGGAAGGGGGGGCAGATCCCTTAACCCCTCCCCCCTCCTGCCCCCCCCCCGTCCCCCTCCTCCTCATCCCTCTTCAACAGGCATAACTGGCTGAATTGAATAATTGCTCGGAGGCTCTCCTCCCTCGGAGATCCGTCGGCCTCGTTCAATCGCGTTTCCTTGTTTTTCGCGTGGTAGATGTGTCCTCGGTGCCGCTTCTTTCCTCGATCGTTCTCAGTTCATTTTAGTGGGGGATTTTAATGCGCTGCTGCTGATGGAAAGACCCTGGCGAGAAAACGCTCGATTCCATGAGGCTATCGGATTTATGAGGAAACGATTCTTATTTTTCCTCTGCCATAGCGATCTTTGAAATACACTGCGCGTCAATTGAAGTGAATATATTTTTTATTTTCTCGTTTTTAAATAACTTACATTTTTTGTTGCGAAACAAATGACAGGTAATTCACTTCAATTTATTATTTACAATTCTAATTCTGAAATTGGAACATTTCTTCTGATATTAATAACAGGTAACATCAGAATTCTTAAAATACTACTAAAAATACCAAATATCCACTTAAATTCACAATGTATTTATTTTTGTTTTAATCATCCGTCTGCTGAGATTGTAACATTGATTGCAGTCGGACTGCATTCGTTCGGGTCCCATCCTATTTGGCCTACGAGCATTTTCTTCCCATTTGCATTGGTAGGCAAGCAGATAGTGATATTTATTTTGCCTTTATTTCAGGTATAAGGGATTGGCTGCAATTATCATACTGCAACTCATAAGCTGCCCGTTCCCCCTGCAGTAAAGGGGCCAGGAATCCATTACCAGTGACGCGTTCGTGGCGTTTGGACCACTTCCCTATAATTACATATAATATAATCCTTATAATTCTGAAAATATTCCTAAGGTTCCTGAGCCCTCTTCATGAGCCCTCATCGGCACCCGTGACTTCATAGATGAAGACTTTTGACAGGACTGCATAGAAACCACCATCACCTACCGTAGGCAAGAACAATTATTTTTTGCACAGGAAGCGCGAAGAAGCGCGGGAAGGAGGAAGCAAGAGCGCGGGAAGGAAGAAGCAGGAGCGCGGGAAGGAGGAAGCAGGAGGAAGGAGGATTGGAGGTCGGAACAAGGAGTGATGTATCTCGGGGTCCCGGAAATCTCAGTCGGAAGCGACTGCGTTGCCTCGTCTCCAGGGATGGCAAGGGAATGAATAAAGACATCCGGGCGCAGCACCTCATCTCAGATCAAATCTATGGGAATCGAAGTGGTATTTCTGTTAATCTTGCAAAAGAGCGCCCATGGATAATCCTGAGCGATGCATTAATTTCCCCCGGCACTCTTCGATTAATTCATTTCCACCTCCACAGAATAAACATTTGAAGATAGTAAGAAGTTTATCGAAGAAGGTTTCTCTGAGGTAAACAGTGCGATTTAGCACTGCCTAGATTTTCGGTTTCTGAACGGGGCAAAGAAAAGCCTAGGTCTTCGTCTTCGCATCTGCGCATATTCCGACGGTGAAAAGGCCTTCAAGGCCTCCAGAGGTCTTCAGACCGAGAAGACGAAATTTTCCAGGACATCTGGGGAGATGTTGTGTTGCTGGGGGAGGAGGGGGAGGGGGGGGGGGGGGGGTTAGGGGCAACGTCGCACTTTTCGAGAAAACATGAAGGAAATGATAGAAAATAATGATTCATTAGTTGAATTAATTTTCACCGGAGTCAGCGCTCTTAAGTTCTGAGGTTCAGACTTCACTCCTTTTTTTCCTTCGGCAGATGTTCCTTCATTCAATGATAAAACATTAGAGGGTGCATCCGCCTTCCTCCTCGTGCCCTTGGAAGGCTGCGGCGCCCCGGAATGGCCTTCACGGACTTACCATTTTTTCACAAGCAAAGAGTGATGGGGAAAAGTGAGAGGGAGGAGGGGTTCGTGCATATGGAGTTCCGAAAATAATTACTCGCTTATGAAAGAAATTGATAAAAGGGCATCCATTGCAACACGTTCATCTTTTTATATGGAATTTTTTTATTTACGAAAAAACCCTAAGCACCTGAGCTATCACTGAAAATTGAAGTAAACGTTTTTCTCTGCTGAAAAAATTTAATTTACTTTCCGTGAAAAATGCTTCGAACACGCAAATTCCACTTTTCATACTTTTTTTCTGCAGAACTTTTTTATTTTTGCAGGAGGAGACAGGGCCATGGGGCTGGAGTGGCCCGAATCGGTTCCCACGGAGGAGACCCGCATGCAGCCGCGGGGAGTCCTCTCGTGTCGCGTGCCTCCCGGATCCTCATCTCGCCCATCAGCGATAACGTCTTTCGTATCTCCGCCCCCATGACTGCGCTTTATTTTTTTCTCTTTCGACTTTTAATCGCCGAGAAAACGCCGAGAGAAAGCGATCGTTCATGAGCGGGGTTCGCTGCTGCGTCCAACTGCTACTGTTAAGAATTTTCGTCGCACCATGAACATGACCTTTTTTTTGCCTTTTAGGTTCTCAAAAAATTTCGTCCCGAGACAAATTAATTAAAAAATTAATTAGTTAAAAACTAGATCAGTGCCAAGGAATGATAGAGCATGGACGTTTCTACGTTCCCCTTGTCTTCTGTTTCCCCATTTTACGCGATTTTCACATTACTTCACTGAGTAACCCATTACGGACGCACGCCGAACGCGAATGGAGGGAATGGGGGAATATCGTAACCCTGCCTTGCATATCTGGAATCTCCCCCCTCCCCCTTCCCCATGGAACATGCCATGAAGCCTGATGTGGGGCAGCAGTCGTTTTGAACCGGTCGTCAAGGTCGGAACTCTGGTGAACGCTGCGAGGAGCGGGTTTTCGCGCGTCGCGGTTGGAGGTCGAGTCGGAACCTCTATGTCCTCGACCGCCGACAAATCCGATTCTGGTGCCTCGTCCCAGGCCGAGAAACGTGGGAAATGGACTCGGATGGATTAAATGGACCGGCGAGATCGGTGGACCCCGAGGGGCTGAAGCGGGCACAGGGGGCCCTCGGCGTCCCCGATCTTATCTCATCATTGCGGGCCGGCGTGGATCCTTTTGTTCCGTTCTCGATCGATGAGTCGTGCCGAGGGCATCACGTTCGTTGCCGAACGTCATCGAATTCAGAAACGAATCGTGACGAGAATCTACGATTTCGATTTCTCCGATTCGCGGAAAAATTCCGTTTCGCGATTTGGTCATCTTGAGGAATTCGTGAAATCGGCCTTTCTTGACGGGGAAATCGAGTGGCGGAGCGTGGACTCAGGTGCTGCGTCTCCGCCGCCACGTGACGGGAGGGTTAACTGCCCAGCTCTCTTTAATAAATAAATCCGTGGCATTGGCGTTCATGGAATACCAAAAAAAAAATCAAGTTAATGTTGCTATTGTTCATTTCGGTTTTGGTTTTCACTGGAGATGGACTAATGCTTCCGCGCCTTATTTTTTCCTTTACTCAATCTGACCAGTATATTGCAAAGCATGACTCTAACCACATCAGCTACTTGAAATTGGGACAAGAAATGCAAAAACGGAAAAAGTTTTGACTTCCGGACAAAAAACTAAACGAGAACTGGAACCGATCGTGGAGATTTTCACCGAAAATGAATCGATTCCCTAGGCAGGGAGTAAAAATTGGGCATGATTTCCAGCACTAATGACGGAAGGGTAACACGAGGGCAACATGGCGACCTTCGACCACCGCATCGCTCTCGTGTCCCCGTTTCCCGAAACCTCGCATTCTCTTCATCGACGTTTGCATCTCGTGCAGAGATGAAACGGCTCCTCCTCGGTATCGAACGGCGAGACATTATCTCCTTCCACCTGCTGGGTGGCAGAGGGGCGACTGGGGAGAAAGAGAGGTGGGGGAGGGGGGGGGGCGAGAGGGAGGAGGTGAGAGGGGGCGGGGCGGGG